TTCCCAGAGCATTAGGTCAGCTGGGTGGCCTGCCCAATTCAATAAAGAGTTTTCTCCTTGGCGATCTCCAAATCCACAGAAAGAATTCTTGCTGGAATTACTCTAAATGTTACTCTGCCATTTGTCTCCCATGGCAGCCACACATCCCTGCTGCCATGATGCACCGCCTCACTAGAGACCCGTAACCATGGAGGTAAGTGATCACGGTCTGAAACATGAGCCACATCCAACATCTTTCTTCCTTCCAGCTGTTCCTGGGAGGTACTGCGTCATGGTGACCAAGTCTGGCTGGCACGGTGTGGCTGGTCATTCAGCAATTAGGCCATTTTTCTGGCAACTATCAGCAGCTTGTAGAGGGGACAGGTGGGCAGGGATGGCAGCTCCTGAGCAACTGGTGCTCTGCAGTGGCAGTCAGCCCTAGACCAAGGATCCCAAGTACACAAACATTTATTAACAACACAAAGCAAACGTGTTCCCAGCTGGGGTGAAGGCCCACCCTGTCCTCACGCCTCTGTACACCTGGGAAAGCTTCATTCCTGAGGCAATGCAATGGCCAGCAGGCACTGCGAACTGTGACAGGAAGGGTTCAGACCTTGCCCTGCTCCTTAGGCTGCCGGTCCCATGGAAGTTTTGAAGGAGTGAGAAGGGGGCCCTGTAGTTTTCCAGTCAACCACGTTCCTCCAGTACTCGCTCATCCCACCTCTGAGACAGTTTTAACACACCACGTTAACCCCTCTGGGATAGATCTTCAAATGTTTATGATTTTTAGTTACGGACGTCTGCATCCCCTGGAGCTGAAGTTACAGGGGGCTATGAGCTATCATACAGGTGCTGGGAATTGAACCCTGGTCCTCTGGAAGAGCACCAAGTACTCTTAACTACTGAGCCATCTCTCCAGCTCCTCACCCACCCTGCTCTGGGGTAGATTTGGACAACACCTGAAGTGCTTATATTTTATAGCTACCTGTGGAATTTGTGTTCCTGTCCAGGATAAGTCAACGCTAACTGTTCCTGGAATGGAAATTTTACGAACATACTCTATAATAACAGCTAAATGTACTGAGTATTTACATCATAATAGACATTTTACATGAACTTATTTTTAATCCCCTAGAACTTCCCAGAGGTGGGTTCCATAAATGACGACCTTTTACCATGGAGGAAATGGGGATGGAGCGATGTCAAGTGCAGCTTCCAAAGTTACAAAGCAACGGGGTAGACTCAGGCGTTAGGCTTCAGGGAGCCCTGGTCCTTATCAACTAAACCTTGTGGCCTCTCCTGAGGCCAATGCCAGGATCAACCTGGAGAAATATGAACTGTTACAAAATGTGAGGGGGGTGTGTGTGACTTGTGATAGTAAAAGGCTAGCTCTCCAAGTCTGTTTATGAATTCAAAAACATGTAGACACCTTCACTGGAAAGAGCATTCTCTATGAGAGCTGTGCCCCAAATGAGAGCCAGCCCAGGCTCTCTTCACCAGGAATATGATTGTGATGTTGAAAATAATCTCTGTTGGGGGACTGGGGAGGGGAGACCTGGTCTGCCATTCCAGAGAGAGCAAGAACACTTTAAGAAAAAGCCTCTCTGCCCACGAACACTGAGACTAAACAGCATCTCTAATGTCAACACACACACACACACACACACACACACACACACACACACACACACACACACGCGCGCGCGCGCGCGCGCGCACGTGCGCGCACGCACGGAATGCTTTCTACCTTAAATAACAGCAATTCCTAGCTTTCTAAAAGTATGTTTTTGAAAAGATTTATTTACTTAATCAGTACTCTATCTGCATGTATGCCTGCATGCCAGAAGAGGGCATCAGATCTCATTATAGATGGTTGTGAGTTATCATGTGGGTGCTGGGAATTGAACTCAGGTCCTCTGGAAGAGCAGCCAGTGCTCTTAACCGTGGAGCCATCCTTCCAGCTTGCAATTCTGAGTTGTAATGGATATACCCACAAAAAATTCAAGCCAAGAAAAATGTGTCTACTTTAAAAAGATTCACTGATATACAGGGACGTGACAGAAGAGAAGGGACCAGAGGTAGAACACGTTGAGAACAGTGATCTAGACAGCAGATGATGGTGCGGAGAGACCAAGAGAACAGTGGGTAAGGCTGGGGAGGGCACAAACATTCTAGCTCTTTGTTCAATTCCAAAATAACTACATGAACCACTTCCCTCTTCTCCAAATCTCACTGTATCTCTCTGGGGGCAGGTAGCTTCCTAAGGCTGAGGCATCTCTCCTCCCTTAAATGACCAATGTACTCCCACATGTCTTACACCTCCTGTGTCTCCAATTATTTCTTGGAGGATTTAAACTTCTTCCCAAATTAGTATAAACTATAGCCAGGCATGGTGGTACATGCCTTTCATCCTGGCACTTGGGGAGGCAGAGGTAGGCAGATCTCTGTGAGTCCGGTCTACATAACGAGACCCAGGCCCGTGGGGGCTACACAGTGAGACCCTGTCTCACAGGAAACAAACCAAATGCCTATCAGCCCAGGAGTATAAAGAAAGTTTGGTAAACACACATACTGCCTAATTACTACTTCTAGATCATTCCACTGCCACTATTTATTTTTAACATGCTTCTAGCTGGTCGTCTTCTACAGATCCATTAACCCAGCTTAATTTTAGTACCATCACAAAGTAACTACAAACATCACACTCAGAATCATCAAATAACCAAGCAGTTGCTGTTACTTTCTCCCTGTCACTTTCTTTTTATTTTCACTTACTGGAGACTGAATCCAGAACCTTATGCATACTAGGTGGGGTACTCTACCCTGAGTTACATCACAAGCCTTTTTGTTCTATTGTTTTGATGTAAAATTTAAACACAATGAAACACCCAAGTCTTAAGCAGACATTTCCTGGGTTTTCACACACACACACACACACACACACACACACACACACACACACATGCACACTTCTGCCCAAGTGCAAACTGCTTTGAGGACACAGGCTGCTTCTTCAGAACACTACTGCGTCCTTTCTTATCCAGCCCAATCTCTACCTCCACCCCTGGAAATCTCAGCAGATTGTACTACAACCTAGAGTTTGGGCACAGGCTCTTTTTATCTGCTCTTGTTCAAACAACTGTAGTAGATTCAATCAAGGTCCTCAGGGGTAAAATGCAGCACACCTGCATTCTTCCCTACCGGGGAAAGGCATGCACTGGGCCTGTTTTGCTGGGCTTCAGTGAGCACGGCATATTCACCAGGCCCAGACTGCTATGAAGAGGAGTTTTCTTTTTCTTTTGTTTGGGTCCTCCCATCTCAGTTAAACCTCTCTAGAAATGACCTCACACAGGAGCCCTGAAGTTTGTCTCCTAGATGGATCAAGTTGACAGTCAAGATTACACAGCACAGAAGAGTAAATGTCAGTGTAAGACCACACAGCACTGCAGATCCTATCCTTACAGCAGGTGCCTGTGCAAGACAGGTGCGTATGCATGCATGCACGATCCCAGATGCTTAGCTCCAATCCGTCCTGCCCCAAGGACGGCGGTATAAATAGAGCTGCAGTGGGGGCCCAGCCACAGCCCTGGACAGCCACTACATCCAGAGGAGGAGCTCAGAAAACGGGCTTTAGTCAGGTTACTTCTATAGTCTGTCCCACAATAAGGCAGGGAGTAACATGAAGCACAGGGCTAGTTCTCAACAGGAACCATTTCCCATTCTGCTTCTTACTGGATAGGAAACGCACCATTTTATTCCCTCATTAAGTGCCCCCCCCCACACCCTTGGCCAAAACCAAGAAAGAAGCAAAAGTGAGCGCAAGACCACAGATTGCACAAGGCCAAGAGATGGGGAAATAAGGGAGCTGTGACTCTCTAAGGTCTTAACCAGTTAAGAATATAATAATACAAATACCTAAGCAGGAAGTCTAGGAGGCAGCTCGGGGAGAGATGCTAGAGAGATGGCTTAGAGGTTAAGGACACTTGCTGCTCCTGCTCCGGGTTTAGCTCCCAGCACTCACATGGTGGTTTCACAACCATCTGTGACTCCAGTTTCAGGGAATCCAATGACCCCTTTTGACCTCTGCAGGTAGTACACACACATAACATACATGCAGGCAAACACTCATGCACGATATAAAAATAAATCACTCACTACAACATTAAGCCTAAGATGGATGTGGCAGCCTATTAGACACCTGGGGCATCTCAAGGCTGGCCAGACTGGAAAGGGTGTTTCAGGGTGTGGACAAACAAAGGCCTGAGAAGCCTGATCTGCAGGTGGGACAGGCCAGAGACAGAACAAAACAAACACCACGTTCCAACCTGGTAAGTATTAAACAAGTGATGTAAAAACCTTGTTCTCCTTGGTCATTTGCTCTGGGCAAGCTCACTCTTCATATCTGATAGAAAAACTTTATAAAGCCTTTTTCTCAGCTTTAAATGAACAGAGATCCTTCCAGCATGAAATGAAACTGTGACGTCGTAGACTCCCACAGAGCAACGGCCAACACTAGCTCATTTCAAAGACACAGAAAAGCCCCTTTCCTACTCACCCTGGCGGTGAGCAGACCCTACTTACTTTTCTTCATAGCACTAAAAATGACATTTGTTTATTTTGTGCGGGGGGGCGGTGGGGGGCGGTCAGTTTTTCCCTCTCACCTTTTGGGTCCCAGGGATTAAACTAGGGTCTTCAGACTTGGGGTAAGCTCCCTTACCCGCTGGTCATCTCACCACCCCTCTTCACAGCATTTTATTACCATCTGGAATTTCAAGTATTTGTTTGGGTGCTGGTACCCCATTACCTGCCACCCACACACCAGTGTACACATACACAGAGGAGAGAGAAGGGGGCGGTCCAGAAAAACACAGCCTTGAGTTTCCCAGGGCTCTATGTCTGCCTGAGCACCTGCCAGCAGCCAGGACGGGCTTATCGCGTCCTGAATGACGTCATTCAGGACACAGCAGGCGGCGGGGGGCGGCGGGGCGGCAGCGGTGGCGCACGCACACCAATCACAGCGCTGCTTCCGAGTCGTGCTTTAATCTCTGCAGTCGGCTACAGTGCAGTGAGGCATGAGCATAACTTTCATTAACACCAGAAATAAACGGCACATTTGCACTGACTCAGCCTAACAGTTGATTAATTCTCTTAACATTTTTGAATTTAATTAAAGCTAGTTTATCTTCAGTGTAAAAACTTGGAGGTATAAACAAACGCCAGGTATTATATACAGTAAGTTATTAACATCCACTTCCAAACTTGCACAGTGCATTTTAAACAAATGCTCTTATTTTATCTTTTAATGTTAAGCATAATCCACATCTCAATCTTGAATAAAAATTCACAATATATAAACCCATGGAAAGTTCTATACACAAATACAAGTTATAGAAATCTGGTTTTCAAATATAAATACATAAACTGTCATGACCATACAGGTTACAACAGCTTGCTTACTTTTTTCTATTGTGATTTAAAAAAAAATAGAAAAATATTTCAATGCACATTCAACTGCTATAACAAGGGTCATGACCCTGTGCCTTTAAACCATACCTTGTGAAGTATACAACATCACATGAGGCATTTTTGGAAAGGAAATCATTAAGACTGTAGAGGCTACCATATAAATATTCATGTTATAATATGGTAACAAAAATAGTTATCTCTGCTGAGTATTTGAGAAGTAGACAGAGAGGAAGTGGAGGTTACTGACAGTTTAGAAAGCTCCAAGAATGCAAGTGAAGGTAGCTAAGGAACTTGTATGTTTTCAAATTCCCTACACAAGCCTAGCACGGACCTGGCCTGAAGGGTCTTAAGGCAACCAAGACTGAGTGCATTTGGCCCTAGAAACACAAATCCTGACCTCCCCTCAACATGCCGTCCCAACACACCAACCTGGCTTGTGCCTCAGTGTGGAGGGGAGAAGAGGAAAAATGATCATTATGTACAAAAGATGATTCAGTGCAAATCAGAAAGAACTCTTTGTGAAGTTTCAAAATGCCTTATTGCCCGTGAGCAACAGAAAGATTTCCTCAACAAGATCTCTCCTCAACAGCAAATGTAGATAAACGGCAAACACTTGAGACGTTCTCCAATGAGGTCCTTTGCCCCCTCCCACTCTCCATGCACCATGCCTTTTGTGGGATTGGACAGGGTTCCGTTGAGAATGATGTGATCCTTATAAAGTATACTTTCAACCTCTAAAAAAATATATATCTTTAAGACAGCAGATCCAAGGTGACCAGGCAGAGCTGAGTTTCTTTTATGGCTTTTTAAATCACTGAGGCATCCCGTGATAATTGCGTCTGACACTTAGGATTGCTTTCCCGTGAAAGCCACATTCGAGAGTGAGCTGCCTACCCCAGCATCTATGACAGTAATGGGGAGGCGAGGGGAGCAGCTGGGGGGTTGCAGAGAGGCACAGTCCAGGTGCTGTGAGCCTCCGTACAAAAGCAGAAGGCCAAATGCATGCTCAAAATGAGGGGATCCAGGGAACAGAAGCTCCCCTTGGAAGACAGAGGGGTTCCCCAGTTCACTCCATAGGTCAGCAGCGAGACACTGGGACAGTCTGCACCACGGTGGGCAGTGCAGACGGCATGGAGCAGGAAGAAGCAAGATGGGAATGGCAGCAAAGGAAGAGGGGAGGCGGCTGCCACCACCGCGCCTTGTTACAGTCCGGGAAGAAGGAAGTGAATGTCAGGAGGAATGACACCAGTGGAATTTTCCAGCTTTTCTATGGGGGGGGGGGGGGAGAGGTGCTGGAATACGCTACGGTGTAAGTCAAAGCACACAGCTTAATACCCCTGTCTCTCCATTTACAGACACCACGTAAAGCTGACCTTGCTCTTGTTCCCAATGGCTACATAGTTATCTTGGCACAGAAAAGACAGGAGGAGGAAGCTCTCACAGCGACCTGGCCGTGAGGTATTTTGTGTACATATTATACAGGCGTCGGGAAGCGACCCCAATCCTATGACAGGTCAGGTAGGAACTCCTTCCTATAAACACTAGAGGCACGGCTTTAATTGCATCATCGTTCAGGACTTGGAAAGAAAAGGAGAACCAGCTCTCTTCCCGAAAGCCTCCACTTTCTCCTACACAGCACTGGACTAACACCGAGACACCAGTCCAGGGAACAACTGTCCTCCCCTCAGGTGGGCCTCTTTCACAGTCCCTGAGGAGACAGGTCATACGTCCCCGAGGTCCACAAACTCGTCTTCTCGTTTGGCCAGGTCGTCTTCCCCTCCCAAAGCTTTCCAGCCACTGGTGGGTAGGACAGGCTTGGATGAATGTCGCTGGAGCAGCGCAAAAGGGAACAGGGAGGAGAGGCGGGCAGAGTTCCTCAGCAGGCTGGGGGCCTGCGTGTGGACAGCCTCCGGCCTGTGGTGCTTGGCGTCGATTTTCTCCTGTAAGCTCTGCACTTCCTCCATCATCTCCAAGAGTTTGCTCATGGCGGCCACTCTGCCACCACCCAGGATCTGGGCTTCTGGAATCCAACGTAAGTAGCGCTGGGCCCACACCTTGATTTCGGGCCCCTCGATGTGAGGCAGTAACAAGCCATGGTAGTCTGTGGGCTTACTATGCCAGCTGTCATAGAACTCTCGAGAGTTGTCCTGGAACTCATCCGAAGAGCTAATAAGCTTGCTAATTCTCTTCCCTAGGTTTTTGATTAAATGATCTGTTTCTTCCCTGAAAAATCCTCTTTTGGGAGATGACTTAGACTGGGTAAGTGGCAAAGAAAGTTGTCGTTGATGCTTTGAAAGAAAACAGAAAAGAGAATATCTGGTTAAGAGGCAAGGTTACAGCTATTTTAATAATAATAATGATGATAATAAAGAGTATCATCATCCTGATGTGAGTAGTGTCAAGAGACATCAGAACTGCCATCTCACGCCCATTCATTAAGATGCTGTAGCACATAGAGAGGACTTCCTGTTCCTGTGACACTGTGAGTGATCTATGCACGACGTACCATCAACAAACGAAAGAACCAGGTACACATGGACTGCAGACAGGCACACTGGGACAGACTAGGCCTTTCGGTAAGAGGGGTGCCAATGGACACAAAGTGCTTTAGAGAAACTGGTTTAACAGGTAATGATTTACGTCAGTTTGGGGGCTTTTCCAGACCGAGTCTCTCACTACATAGCCCTGGACAGCCTGGAACCCACTGTATAGACCATGCTGGCCTGAAACACAGGATCCTCCTGCCTCTGCCTTCCAATCACTGGCACTACAGGTGTGTGCTGCCACTCCTGGCACACCATTTAAAGGGAAGAAAAGTTTCTTTTTTGAGAACGTAAGAGCTCTTAACTGCAGTAATATTCTGAACATCTTCAGGAATCAGTACTGACCACCTGGAGATCTTATCCCACAGACAAAACAACCTTTTAGCCTATCAGGTATTCCAGCTGAAGTCATGCCTCTCTCTCTGTCTCTGTCTCTGTCTCTCTCTCTCTCTGTCTCTCTCTCTCTCTCTCTCTCTCTCTCTCTCTCTCTCTCTCTCTCTCTCTCTCTCTCTGTCTCTCTGTCTCTGTGGACAACAGGCAGTGAGAACACAGAGACAATGGCGAAGAGGAAAGGACTAACTTGCCCAGATAGTCTTGTTTGTCAGAATGCACAGAACAGGAAACATGAGAGCATTTAAGTTTTGTTCCTGCTTGCTGGCTTTCTCAAAAAAGGCAAGGTACTATATTTTGGGGTACACCATGAGAGGGTTATGAAGATAGGTCAGAAGTTGTGGGTTTCATCGATGCCCAAAGGAAAAGGTACAAATATGAGGAGAAGCTGTTTCCTGCCAACTGTTCTACCCCTAAGGTGTTCATGCAAAGTAGGAACAGAGAGCCATAAGCAGTGGCTGATGCCTGTAATCCCATGCTCAGGAGGCTGAGACAGAAGATTGCCAGGAGTTTAGATCTAGCTTGGATTATATAATGTTTCATGTTAGCCTAAGCAATAGTGTAAGACCTTCCCACAAACAAAGTAAGAATAGAGTAAAAATATGACCTTCAGGCTAGCACTCCAATTTTCAAGCATATTTCTACTAGTGTGTATCCTTGTAAAAAAACTTTTAAAAAGAAAATATTTCCTGATTATAGAATATGTAATAATAATAAAAATACACACACAGGGCAAGTTACCCACAATAGCACAACTCAGAGATGATCAGAACCTTTGACTCTCCACCCGGAGACAGCAAGGATGAAGACCAGGCATAAGTGGCCTCTCTTCTCCATAACGACCAAGGTGAGTCAGGCAGGAATGTGGGACAAAAAAATCCCCACAAGGGAACCTAACTGTCACCAAGTGTTGCCTGGTGTTGGAGGCCTCTGCTCACACCTCCTCCATGTGTCCTCTCAGCATGGTGCCCAAGCCCAGCACCTGGTGCTCACAGGAAGGCTTCCCAGTCCTTGTTGCTCACCTCCAAGGCTGCTGCATTTACACAGCCTGCAACCCACTGTCTATTAGAAGAGACCGCAAGGACAACAGACAAGGACAACAGACAAGGACAACAGACAAGGACAACAGACAAGGGGTGCTCGGCCTCTCCAAGACTCCCACAGGTACCGGGCAGCTCTGTGCTCTAGTGCAGGCTGCCACCAGGGGGCATGGGACACCAAAGGAAAGCTCATCCCTGGCTGACCTGTGCTGATTGCAGCAATCTTGCTCCAGCTGCAGAAAAGGGAGTATCCATGCGCTCTGGGCCTGAGGACAGACAGCTGAGAGGGCATCATGGCAAGTCTAAGCGCTCAGCAGCCGACACTCCCTCCATGTGCTGGCCTTGGTTCACCTGATCCCATCTTGCTTAGACTAGAACCCTGTTCCGACTGAACTGGCAAGTATCTAGGGCCCCTGAGGACCAGGCAGGATAGGAAGGACAGTGGTGGGAAAGGTAATGGCATGCACGGACTTGGATTTGCCATCACTGACCAGGTGACAGAGCTGGGGTGCTGTTTAAACTGTGTGCCAGTTAGTGAACTTTGGGGTATCATAGTTAGTAAAATCAGGAAGCAATCTCTAAAAGGAAGATGAAAACTTGCTGTTTGTGCTTTAGGATACAGGCTGGCAAACTCCAGTCGACGGGCCAAAGCCGGGGTGACACTCGCGTAAACACTGGAACCCAGCTGTGCCCAGTGCCTATCATCATTCAGGACCACTGTTTGTGCCACAACAGTAGAGTGGGCAGAGCTGGGAGACGGTTCACGTCTCGACACGACGCTTGCCACTCTCCCTTTATAGGTTTATTAGGAAAAGTCCTGGGGCTGGAGAGATGTCTCAGTGTTTAAGAGCACTGACTTCCAGTGGATCCAGGTTTGATTTCCAGTGCCCACATGGAGGTTCACAACTGACTATAAATCCAATTTCAGGGGACCTGATGCTCTTTTTTCTGGGCTCTGTGGACACCAGGCACACATGTAGTACACAGACATGTATCAGATAAAACACAGATTCATAAAATAAAATAGTAAAGTTGTTTTAAAAAGAAAGAAAAAGAAAAGTCTTGTTATGAAATACATGAACTGGCACATGCGGAGTAAAGCCTTCATAATCCATGCAGCCTTTACTCTACCGACACACAGACACGGAGTAAGGGGCACAATCCCATGCAGCACAACTCTGACAACGGCAGCCTCAGTGATAAGCCTCATCAGAGCAAAAGCAGATTTGCTAAAGGCACCACTAATGAGCCCCGTAACCTGACTGCCGCAAGTCCCAACTGCACACTGTATTAGAGGAAGCACGCAACAGAGAGATCCATAAAGTAGCCTTTGTCCTCGCATGTATGCGACGGAGGAGCCAATGTTGGGGGGAGGGTGTTAAGACATGCACATCTTACTTTGAAACGTGATCCTTTCCGCTGGCCTTTATCCAATTTTGGCTTTTCCACATAGAGAGGGTTTCTGAGCAATGTCTGTGCTTTGGGTTCAAACTGTACTGACCAATCCCACACGGTGAGCAGAGTCAAAGGCTTGCTTTGTGTATCCAGGCTTTCCCTACCCTGCCAAAACAAGCACAGGTCACCACAGCTTCCAGGGACGGCTGGGAAGCAAGCACACATTCTCAGAAACGGGCTGCAGGAAGAGTTCTCTGCTGGGCTGGGAATGAATGCACATAGGCTGCGTTTCTCCAGGCAGAGGCTCTTGGCAGGGAGGGTGAGAAGGGCCCTTTTTCTCAGCGGTCTACCTACAGCAGCTGGACGGCTGGGTGCTTTCACAACAAACTTGTGAGTTAACCCCTACTTTCCCAACTTGACATCTGAGGAAACTGAGGCTCCGAAAACAGGAGTGAAGTGCCTGAGAGTATGAAGCTGGCAGCTGCAGGGCTGTCAACGAAGATGCCAGTCCCACTGTGTCCGCTTCCTCGTGGAACTTGGCACTTGGCAACTTAGTAACTAAACGCCAGTGCCAAGGCAGGAGAGAGCTAGATGAAGGCATGGAGATTAACAGAGACCCCTTACATCTGGAACACAGGCTGAGCAGGACCGAAAGGGCTTTCAGGTATAAAACCAAAGCCTGGCTACCTTGTTCCCCTGGGGTCCATTCTTGTCCCACAACAACTCTAGGCATTAGGGTAACGAAGAGAGGGTACCTGGTCTACCTTTGAAAAGGATAACTTTGAATTGGTCTTCATTCCCAAACATTCGCCTCCATCTTAAATATTTACTATATAACCTGGGGCTAGATGATTATTGTGTTTCCACTTCCTCAGGGGTAACAATCGACAGCTACAGTGTGCTGCGAAGATTAAACACTTCCCCAGGAAGGAAGGACGAGCTGGGAGTCACCTGAAGCGCGTCTGGTGCACAGCCAGTACTGAATACCTGTCATCTGTGGGGCCACTGTCAGGAGTTGAGTTTGTAGGATGAAGCTTTGGTGACACAGAGGTCTCTAAAAGGGACTCTTACCATGTTAGTGTCTTTTTGATGAGGCGAATTGAAGAAGAAGGTGCTGAAAATAGGTATATATAAGCTATCGGATAAAACAGTCAGGAAAGTCTCTGTGAACTCAAATGCTGGGGGGTGCTGGTGCACCAGCTGCCATACACAATCTAAGAAAAGCAGGAACACAGGGACCTATATGGAAACAAAACACACATTATTTAGGAAGCCTAGGCCCAGCATGAGCTGTCTTGAGCTCATTGAACAAATAGACAGTTCTTTCCATGTGATGAGTGTTCTCAGGGAGACCACCTCCCTGTAAGTTAGCAGTACCTGTTAGAATTCCTAGCCACTCTCTCATGACTGCTCATTTGCTGGCAAGATGCTTAGTCATCCCAGGGCCTTACATCCTACGTAATCCATGCGTTGCATGATCATGTAACTTGCGTGCAGTGTGATCATGTAATATATGCACATGCGTAGCGTAGTAACTTAAGTCCATATGCGCATGTGGGGAGGGGGGTGCAGGGGGGGGGACACCTATAAAAAGTGGGTTCCACAAATCCCTCCCCTCTCTTCCTGAATGATCTTTCCATAGGCCAAAGCACCCCTTCTGTTCCCTTCCCTTAATAAAGTATTACAGTGGGTTCTGTTGTACCTTGTGGCTTTTTTCCGAACGGTAAACAGCGCCACTTAATGAATAACATTGCGCCGCTTAATAAAAAACAGTATCTAAAACGAGTATCTAAAACTGCATAATGGATGTGCACATGAGTGTCTGCAATCAGCTTTGGTGATTAGAACACTAATTCTGAACTCTAATTAAGTGAATCCCATTCTTCTTCAGAGTGTTCAGCTGCAAAAACAGGACTTAGTGATGACTGCCATTTTACATTTTATCAATAAATGGGGGCATTCCTGCCGGCCCAGTGATACCAGGTGGGGTGGATTCTGGAGACTTAGCTGGAGAAGGTTCCCTTCTTTATCACTCAGTGAGGGCCCTGAAGGCAAAAGGGCAGGAGAGAAGGCAAGAGTTGCAGAATGGGCTCCTGGCCTGCATTCAAGTGCTTGGTCAACTTGGGTCCTCTTTTGGAAGCTACTCAGAGGCAAGGCTTTGTTGGCAGTTTGTCTGTTGTGTTACCAGTTAAAGGAGTTTTCTTCTTGACCCACCAGTGATCCTGCAACAGGGTAAGGCCACTATGTGACAGTGTCTACCTTCTACAAGAGTAGAGATACAGGCCTCACACAGAGCTGGTAAGAGGAAAGCGGTAAGAATTCTTGGTAAAAAGACCAGCTCTACATCAGTAATATCATGAATCACACCATCTAGTCCCCAGAACTCCAACACATTGGTTCTGAGAGCCTTCACATCACAGATTATGGGCAGTATCACTAAGTAAGACGTAGACTAGACGAGCCTCACTGTACAGTAGCCTATGGAAAGATCATGCCTAGCATACTCCAAGGTCTGGGGTCCATCTCCAGCACTGCATAAAACTGGTTGTGGTGGGTTATACCTACAACCCCAGTGCCTGGAAGGTGGGAGCAGAAGATTAAACTTCAAGTTCATCCTTGGCTGTGTAACGAGTTTGAGACCAGCCTGGGATACATAAGACCTTGTCTAAAATCAACTCAAAACAACACTCTGATCTGAGAGGATGAGTCATTCATCTACATAGAAGCAAGCTGGGTGTGGCAGTGCATGCACATAATCCCAGCTACTTGGGATGATGAGATGGAAGGCTGGCTGAGTGCAAAGCCAACCTGGACAATATAACCAAGCCCCCACGCCCAAACAACACAGCAATGACAACCAAACTATGGTGATATTTTATTTGTACTGAAATGTGATTTTATTTGTATGTTAATAAATAAAGTTGCCTGGGGGTCAGAGCTAATAGCAAGCCATAGCAGAAGTCTGGCAGTGGTAGCACATGCCTGTAATCCTGATCACATGACAGGCAGATCTCTGTGTGTTCAAGGATACCACCAGCATGGAGACACACGCCTTTAATCTTAATACTAACCATAGAAGACCTGGAGGTCTGTATAGATGGGCAGTGACGAGGAGGTCATGTGGTTGGGTTTACAACCAATGAGAAGGCAGAACAAAAAGTCAATAAAAAGGACAAACACACAGGAAGTAGCTCTCTTGCAGAGAGGTAGGACAGCAGCGGCAGTGAAGGGTAAGAAAGGGTTTTCTAGCTCTTAACTACTGCTCTGACCTCTTGGGCTTTTAACTCTGAATTTGGCTCCGTGTTTCTTATTTAATAAGACAGTTACATCTATACCAAACCAACAGAAGAGGCTGTGACTCAGGCCACACTTCTCCCAGCACTGCAGAGGCTCTAGCAATCGATGGCAGCAAACAAGGACAATTTACTGTGAAGTATATTGTCTGTGGCAAATTTATACACTACACATCACTAACTACAAAGTTTAATTTACAAGATTCGAAGATTCTTTCTTCCTGAGTTATCCTGTGTATAACTGTTACAAAACCAGTATTTCTCCTAGTATGAAATGTATATACAGCCTTACTCTACATGAGTTAGAAGACTTTGAACACACTTATTGATATCCTTGCAGCGCTGGGAAAGATTTCCACATTGTTTAAAGCATTCAAGTCACCCGAGATGAGCTGAGGTTTGCTGATGTCTGTGAAGTATGCACTTCGACAAGCCTACATCTGAGGACAGTGACCAGATGAGAGGGAGTCTCTCTCCCCAGTGACAGTCTGCAGGAAAGGCACTCACCTCCTCTTTGTCGCTCTGGCGGAGATGATTACAGCGATCCAAGAAAGAGTGGCAACCCATGACCCACTCCTTTTGAATGAGGCTCTGGAACCCAGTCCTGGTTCGATAGTGGGGGTCCATCATCACTTGCACCAGAGAGGAGAGGAGGCAGCAGAGATCAGATGCGTTCTCTTCTAGAATGGTCCAGCAGCAGCACCAAGGAAGAGGACAGGGTGTTACAAAGAGACAGTGCTCTCATCCACACAGCTAAAAGCAGGATTCCCAACACCAAGGTCTGCTGTGACTTCCTACAGACAAGGGCTAACTTGGGAGAGAGGAACAGCTTCTGGCTTGTTAGGGCGGGTTCCGGCACACAGTGGTGCTAAGCAGGGACCTGCTTACTGAACAAACACGGCCCTGAAAAATCCACTTTCTGCACATGGCACCCACAGGCACCACAGAAGAGGAGCCACACTGATGCACCAATGACTGCCTGACTGTAGATGAAGTCTACTTCCCTTCTCTCCTGGGGAGAAAGCCCGAGTCTCCGCTCACTGCTCCAGATTCAGCCTCTTCACGTCAGACCCTTTTTTCACTCCCTACCCTTTACGGGCTGCTCTGTGCCAACTGACCACTTCAGTCACACGGCTCTTCCTGTTCTGTCTGAGGAGCACAAAGGCGCCTGCTTCTCCTTGCCAAGCCTACAGGAGGAATTCTCCTTGGTACTGCTCCGTGTGCCCGCCTGGAGTGCACTCCACAAACCCACACTGCTGACTTAGAGCAGAGGCAAACACCCAGCCACAGCCATGCATTCATCTTAGAGTGTGAAGACACTAAAGCCAGGCCTACATTTCCCATGGCTTCCTCTCTATTCCCCACTTTCAAAAAGGCACAATTCGTATTGCTTTTTAGAAGTGTCCTCAAGGAAAATGGTGGCTGTATCCTTAGGGTCAGAGAATTAGACCTATACTCACACTATGAGTACTCTCTCTTCCCGTGTCCTAGAATTACAATGCACTGAAGCTCAGGTTTACACTCATCTATAGCAAACATGCAGGAACTACGTGGGGTTGACAAAGACAGATCTGTGTATGTATGTGTGTATGTGTGTGTGTGTGTGTGTGTGTGTGTGTGTGTGTGTGTGTGTGTGCAGGTGCATGCAGAGGCCAGCCCAGAGGACAATCTTGTGTGTTGTACCTTGGGTGCCATCTACCTTTTTCCCTACCCGGAAGACAGGGTCTCTCACTGGCCTGCAGTTCAGGAGTGGGCTAGCCTTCCTGTCCAGTGAGCGCCAGTGGTCCTGTCTCCTCCCTGGGGTTACAAGCATATGCTACCCTGCCCGCCTTCCATTTTTAATGAAGGTTCTAGAGCTCTAACTTGGTGCGTCCAAGGCTGTCTGCCGTCTAGTGCTATCTATCAGTCTCTGACAGTGCCGCCTGGAAGATAATCTTCCTCTTCATCTGAAGGTGCTGATGGGACACCTCGAGGACAGCAGTGAGGGCTTGAAAGCAAGACTGCAGAAGACAGACAGCTCGAAAGCCCCGAGGGGTGAGAGACATCTGGAAATCAGAGCTGGATTGGCACGGCACAGCTCTGTAATTGGTGGATCTGGTCCTGGGCTCTCCCACCTCTCAGATCTCATCCTTCTTTATTAGTTATTCAGAATTCAGATCATACTCTTCTTGTGTCTTTACCAAATAGTCTTAAGGTAATGCTCCCATTAGTCTGTAAGTGTCTGGAAGGAAAAGCATAGAGTTCGGTGTACGGAAGGTGCTCAAGGAGAGCATTCAATGCTCAGCTGGTGAGCTAGCACCAGGTGGTCCAGAAACCATAAGAAGGAACATCTTCCAATGTGCTCTTAGGGGCTACAGTAAGAGAAGCATCACAGAAGTGATAAACACCAGGGGTAGACTCCAGGAGACACTCTACTCAATGTGTAGCATCCTCTACAAAGTAAGTCAGGATGGAGACACATCTGTAGTTCCAGATGCTTGTGAGGCTGAAGGAGGAGGATCACATAAGCCAGGAATTTGAAGGCAGCCTGGGCAATACAGTGACACCCCCCTCTCCTGAAAACAAACGGAAATAGGATCTAAAGAGCAGGTGAGGCTTCAGCTCCTATGTAAGCCCTCACAACAGCACTCTCTGCTGCAGGTGGTTTACAGGGCTTTTCTAGACTGTGTGACACCGTCCCGGAGCACAGAAAATCCCCACTGAGGATAGGAAAGGCACAGTCCAGCACTGCACTTCCCATGGCAACTGCACAGAGCTGCCTGCACACAGGCAGACAGTAACCTAAGCATCTGCAGGGCTCCTGTGTAAAAGGGCATCCCAAAGACTGCCGGGTAAAGACACCAAACAATCCCTTCTCAGGTCTGCCAGGTTCCAAGTGAAAGGATTTTGTTTTAAACCCTAACAGTGAAATTTGAGGCAAAGGATTACAAGCTAAGAAAAAGGAGAAGAGAGGAGAGGAAACAAATCGGTCCATAAGTTAGATATACAAAAGCTGACTCTTAGCCCGGCAGTGGTGGCCCACACCTTTACTCCAGCAGAGGCAGGCAGACCTCAGTGAGTTCGAGGGCAGCCTGGTCTATGAATTGAGATATTGCCCAGAAAAACTCGGTCTCAAAAAACCAAGGGTGGAGGGGGTGTGTGTGTGGGGGGAAGCTGATTCTCAGTGAATGAAACCACCCCGTGTGCTTTATTACCCAAGAGGAGAACATTCGTGTTCTGTGCTTCCAGGCATTCCGTAATCTCTATCGCTTTCTTCAGGCAGCGTCTAAACATGGGAGAGATGAGAACAGGAGTGTTAGCTCTTGAGTTTGCTGCTGTAGACAAGTGGAGGAGCAGCTGGAATTGCTCTTCAGTTTTCTTTGTGTTTCTTCATGCTAAAAGGCTAGGAAGGGGGAATAATCACGATTTACTGATACTCATCTGACCATGAGAAACTAATTATGGATACCCAAGAGTACACAAACACACACACACATACACACTAAAGGGATAGAAGAAGTATCTCAGCCGTCCACACCTCCACAAGCACTGTGGCATTGTTCAAGCTAGTCAAAACATGGAGGCAACCTAAGAGTTCACTAACAAATAGAGTACACGTTTATGTGTGCACGCATGTGCGTGTTGGAATATTATTCAGCAGTACAAACGAAGGACACTCTACCATTGCAGCAATATGGAAAATCCCTGCACTTGGGAACTGAGACTAGCCTGGACTACAAAGAGACCTGATCTTTAAAAAAAAAAAAAAGGTAAATGAATACAGGAGAGAACAGCCCAGGTTGGATGGGGACAGTTGTTTCCTCAGGCGTGGCACGGGTGAGCTAGACTCTGCCCACATCTGTTTTGTACCTGCCTGTACTGTGTCCTTTAGTAAACAGCAACAGAGAGGAGCTATGGGTTATCAAAGGCAATATAACTTTTCTAAGACTCAATTCTAAATCAAAATGATGCACTGACATTAACAGTGATTTTTCTAAAACAATAATTTAAATAGGTACAAGCAAGAAACACATAAAGTTCAGGATAACATTTGTGAGAAATCAGTGTCCTTTCCACTGGGAGGCCAGCACTGCCACCTCCGTTAGTTCTGAATGGTCCCAGCTTTTCCTGTAGTCTCAGCATGCCTTGCTTATAGAGTGCACTTCTTTGTAAGCAGAGAGAGCATTGGACAATTCTTATCAAATGTACAAAGAAATGATAAACAGAAAACATAAAATGCAGCCCAACCCAGCGGGCAGTGGTAACACACACCTTTAATCCCAGCACTAGGGAGGAAGAGGCAGGCGGATCTCGGATCTTGAGTTCCAGGACAGCCAGGCCTACAAAAAGAGAAACCCTGGGGGAGAGGGTGCAGCCCAACCCTGAACCAAACATATGATCTCAGAATAAATAACTGTGACAGACTAGGTGTCTGTCAATTCCTCCACAATTCAAAATTAGAAAACTGTACGATTCATGTGAAAAACAATGGGTTAAAATACCTGATTATATCAAGCCAGCTGCTGCTTTCTAAGAGAGAAAACCACTTTATATCTGTGTCCCAAAATTCCGTACTGTTATCTGAAAACAGGAAAAAAATGGGAGACTTCAAGTTATTGTCCACGGCCACGCCTGCCACAGTACACCCACGATGCCCCCAAGCTGTACAGCTCAGGGGTTCCAAGTGAATGAAAAAACCACAACTGAGAATCCCAGTCCTGGGTCAGAAAGTAAAATCATCTACTTCAAATCTCCCTTACAACGTGTATCCCACTTTGGTTAGCAGTATACAATGGTGTTTCCGTTTCCTTTCAGCGAAAACAGCTTTCTGGATCAGTCATCTTCATCATGATACCAGCATAATTAGTATATGCAGTGAAAATTCAGTGTCAGCTGAACAAATCCCAAAACAGTAAAGAACGTGCTAGGCTAGGGAGTCAAAGTTAGGAAAAGCTGTCTCTAAACATGACAGAAGAAAAGGCTGGTTTAAGAATGGCAAGAATTCAGCTGGGCACGGTGGCATTCGCCGTTAACCCCGCACTCCAGAGGCAGACTCATCTCGAGTTCGAGGCCAGCCTGGTCTACAGAGTGAGTTCCAGGACAGCCAGGGCTACACACAGAGAAACCCTGTGTCTCAAAAAACTGGGGGGTGGGGGGGGACAACTTTAGCAGGCTACCAAGTGTGACTGAGTCTGTCAGGTTTCCAGTTGTCACTCAGGCTGGGAGGACCCACCCTGCGTCCTGACGTAAATCCTCCTTTGAGGAAAAGCCCCTCCCTTCTTCCTCTCCCCCTTCCTCCTTTTCTTGCCATGAGGTGTGCACGCCTCAGCTTTCCCTCTCTCTCTCTCTCTCAGAGAGGTGTGTGTGTGTGTGTGTGTGTGTGTGTGTGTGTGTGTGTGTGTAAACTCTCCCCGTGGATGCTGTGTCTGCAGCCTGCCGCCACATCTGCCACCCGCTCACCTTATCATTACAGGGATGGGGTGGGGTGGGGTGGTGGCTGGAGTGGTTGGAATGCTTTTACATTTATTAACAAAATTGTTTTGCATTGTAAGAAACTACATGCCCAATGAGGGCTAAAACAAATTAAAGTATTCCCAGTTTGGAAGAAAAGTCGATCAGGGAAAACCAACAAGTCACATTATAAATGCTTAGGAAGGCTCTAGGTACTCCATGGTTCAAAACCTTAGAGAGGAGCTAAGACGTCCACCATGGAACCTGGCCTGCTGGGGAGGGAGAAAGGAAGGAGATGGCTATGTATCTATGTGACCATTGCAATGGAAGCCACGGGAAAACCTGGAGCGCTGGGCAGGAGCAGTGAACACGACAGTGGTAGCTGGCGCCCTGGACTTCTGCCTACAGCCTGACACTGCTTGTCAATGGCCCTGGGCTGAGAGCCCCCTGCACACCACCATTAGCTTTCCCCTGATCCACGAGGTGTGGCTTTCCCCATTTGACAAAAAGAGTCCGCTGTTCTTACCTATCAGAAACAGCTGCTTAAATTTGCAGTATGCATTCTGGATTTCCTGCAGCGACAGGAAGTTGCTTGATAAGTCTTCAGTTTTAACAATTTCGTAAGGTGGCCTGTGGATGGTCTTGTAAATTCTAGGTGTCAAAAAGCAACGTGAGGTTAGAAGAGCCAACAGGAATGTGAATAGCTTGTCTGTCCTGAGCACTTGGCACACAGTCTGTTTTCAGAGCCCTCACCTCATTGAATCCTTGCTCAGAGAGCCAGTGCATGGATGTGGAAATGGAGGTCGTGGTTGGGTCAAAGCAACTGAATTACATAACCTACTCCTTCTGTTGTTCAAGCTATCGACTTTATCAAATTTCTTGGAGGGGCTGGAGAGATGGCTCACTAGTGAAGAGAACTGGATGCTCTTCTGGCACAGCTGGGTTCAGCCCACAGAGGCTCACAGTTATCTATAATTCCAGTCCCAGGGAACAGGCACAAGTGGTGCCCAGACAACAAACACCCACACACATCAAAATAAACAAATAAATAAACAGATTTAAACTTACCGAGAAACTTCTACTCCATTTAATAGTGGGACAGTACAGTGATGCACCCCATGACCTAGACTTGACAGCTGTTAACACTATAGCCACCATACCCTCCCCAACCCCCGCCCAATACTTCTGTGAATCTCTGAAAACAGCACAGTTGACCTTCCTAAGGATTACGCTGTACTGGTTTCCTGTGAGGTCATTAAAATGAGTGTTATTACTCATATTCCTCCAACAGAAAGCTACCAGCAGGTAAGCAGAATGGACACACTAAGAAGAACTATACTTACTACCTGCTCCTCATAGACCAGGAGCTAAATGGACCCAGAACAAAGAGTAGAATGAGTACTGACCCATCCAAGAAGCTCTTCTGGATTTGCAGAGCACCATCATCCTGTTCTTTGGGCAGTGCTGACATTTTCAAAAGGGCGCTTCCATTGTGGCAAGACCAACACCAGATCTTCAGAGAGAAAAGGAAAATGTTTGTCAGAATACTCAAAATGCAACAGGGAGCAGAGGAGCTAAGCATTTCCGTCCAGACAGAAAAGTCTGTAACTTCAAAACAAACTGTCTGGGTACAGTCAATGACCAAGATTTAGACTTAAAAAACAAAAGAGAGACAAACTGGCTGGGTACAGTCAATGACCAAGATTTAGACTTAAAAAACAAAAGAGAGAGAGAAAACGGGACCAGGCAGTCAGATTCGGGCTTGCTCACAGTCTAACATCCATCCCTTGGCTTTCGAGCTGGCGACTTAATGGTGACAGCAGCACCGTTACTGTTACTTCCAGGACAGCAACCAGCACGGCAGTGCAGCTTTGCAGCCCAGGCATTTTACATGAACTAAACTCACTCAATTCTCATGGTCACTTCGTGTGATAAGAATGGTTATTGGCCCCATTCCAGCAGCCCAGAGGACTTCCTTCCCATGTAGGACAGTGGCTACTGTCTCACTCCACAGGCCACGCTGCCGGATGGCAGATGCGCAGCTCAGTTCCCACCAGCAGAGGGAGCGCCCCCCAGGAAGAGCTGACTTCTCGACAGGGAATCTGAAACTCACAGAGGGAAGGCACTCACAGGGTTGTGAGCCGGCATAAAGATGACCAAGGTCTGTTCTACCTCACAGCTCTTCGACGGCGAGGCAGAATGTGGGAGACAGCAGGAAGAATGGACTTGGAGGAACAACAAGGGGTGTGATGAGTGACTGTGAAGGACAGGCTTAGGTGGGTGCCTGGACGTTCTTTCCTGGATACTGCTTTGGTTAACTGGGCAAGATCTGAGGCTATGGGTTCTGTAGCGGCTACGTGTCTAGCCCTTGCTTTGCTGACCACACTATCAGCCTTGGCTGGAAAGACATTTGGGGGCATTGTCAGCAAGCTGGTTCAGCAGATAAAGATACTTGCAGCCAAGCCTGACAACCTGAGTTCAATTCCCAGAACTCACATGATGGATGGAAGGAAGAACCCAGAGATGTACAAGTCATCTTCTGACCCATGCATACACAGTAAATAATCGATGGATGGATGGATGGATGGATGGATGGATGGATGGATGGATGGATGAAATGCCATTTTTCCTCTTACTGAACACCACTTCAGCATTAACTGCCATGAACAAACTATGCCTTGGATAAGCGAGCAGCTGCCTGGGCAGGAGCTAAAGGCCTGCAGATCAATCCAGAGCTGCTCTGCACTCCAGAGAACAGAAAGAACTGTCTTGGGTTCAGGGAAGATAGTGGAGTTGACAGTGGGCACACTGGGTGCCTAGGCCTCCAATGCATCACCATACAGCATCCAGGAGACTTGTGAGCGTGGGACTACGCGTTCAGGAGAGAGGACTGTCGCCCTGGACATGGGAAATGATGTCAGCTAGAGCGAGGGTCGAGGACTACTCTAGCATCTGCCCCTAAAGAGCGACTCCCTTTGTAGGCCAGGCACACTTGTAATTCATATGAGGCAGCCGTATTCAGACACTGGGGAAAACTGAGGTGCCCTTTGTTTCTTACTCCATCCTCCAGTGCAACAGAAAGAACCACGGACAAACTACCACAGACTTCTATGCCTGCTGCCAAAGGTAGAGAGTAATATTTTGAACACTTAAGCAGCCATGCCCACTAGCAGGTCAGCTCACTTGGATACAGATGGAGGACACTCTTAGTCATAACGGGATGGCAGTATTCAAGAGATGAAATGCTCCTAATCATTTTAACTGCTTAGACAGGGCAAAAATGGCAGGTCTTGGGGGATATACAGCTGTTGGGACATACGTAATAATAACCTTTAATCAGACTGTCTCATCTCATCTGAGGCACAAAGGAACAACTATCACCCTTTATTTCAGAGTAAATCAATACAAGCAACTTAGCCAAGTGGCAAGGATCAGAATGACCTCACAAGTCGTACAGGTAGGTGACCAACGAGGAATTAGACAGGGATAAGCAGAAGAGGGGCTAGTAGTTCAGGGACAGAGCACCAGCCGAGCATGGCAGCATGGTGAGGCCCTGGATTTGAGCCCAGCACCAAGCAAAGGAAGAGAGGCTCAGGCAGAGAGGGGAGGAGAGGAGACTATCTGCTCTGTGTCCTGTGATAGAGACATGTCAGTTCCATCCCGTGTGCTCTCTTACTGCTGTCCGTGTATACCCCACTAAAGAGTTTGGAACATATAACTGCGGAAGACTCAGGAACATGCCTTTCTAAAGCTCCTAACAATGTTGCTGGCTCTTCACCCATTTCTTAGGAGAACGCTTTCTATGTCCCAGCCCCCAGGCCTGGCAAGAACATGCTGTATCTTAATTCCCCATGTGGTAGGGATGGAGAAGGAGCCTGAAGCCTATCCGCATGTGCAGTTAATCCTCCTCCTTTTCTTCTTCCCACAGCCCACACCGCACCCTTTTCTATGTTTCTCCATGGAGGAACCCTCACTGTCATCCCTCTCAAGCAAGGGGCTTTCCGAGTGCACTGTGCCCTGTCCTGAGACCCAGACCCTTGTGGGTGGCCTGCAATACCATAACCATTTCCACTGCGGTGCCGTACGCACTGGCGGCACAGTAGCCGTGGTCAGTGAACCTGTGGTGGTTCAGCACCAGTCCAGGCACAAGCACTTGTTAACACAGCTTGTTAATAAGTTACCACTAGCAGGAAAACGGTCCAATTCCCCCGAGAATGTCCTTGAACAGAAGGTGAAGAATGACTAGTTTTAGGGCCAAATGATGGCTCCGTGGGTAAAGTGCTTGGTGCGAAAGTCTGATGACCAGAGTTTAATCCCCAGATCACGAGCAGGTGGAAAGAGAAAATCAACTCCACAAAGCTGTTCTCCGAGCTCCGCACGTATGTCCTCGATCCCCACTAGTAATACCATCTTCTAAATGGTCCATTTTACAATCTTAACTGTGATACAGCATAAAGTGTCTGTCCTCCCGAGTTGAGTGCCTCTCCAAACATTGTGCGCAGACTTTGCAGGACTAGCTCTTATAATACTGGAAGGAGCTAGGCCAGCTGCCATGGCAGAGAAGCAGCCACCGGTCCGTCTGGCTATGATGCCTACAGACCACACCTGAGCGGCCCAGAAGACACTGATGCAGCTGTGGCACTCTGAACGTAGGGGCAGCCAGCAGCTGTCTAACTGGACTTGTATTCTCAATACCCAGCCTTACGTCCATAGATAAGTGTAACTCTCACCCCCTCATCAAAGAAGCCTCTTTTCACAGCAGATGATGACTGTCGCAGATCCACAGCTGGTCAAATGCAGAAAACAAGTGGAATAAACCCGGGGTGCCCAACCCTAAGGGATACATTTACAAAGGGGAAAGTTTTTAACTAGAGGATCAGGACACCTGCTGGGAAATGGCTGCACCCATGAAACCTCAATAGTACGGTTAGTTGAGTGAAAAAGACCTGCATAATGAGAATACCAGCTGGCACACCGATGTACATGGGCCTAGATGAAGAGCTGTGGGCAATCAACGGCGCTGAGAAAGGGGACTCAGTCTTCTCCAAGGATGATCCCTCACTGGTCATCTAATTCCACGGGCTCAGCCATCAACACATGTACATACAAGCGTGTGTTTTGCATATGCATACACATATGTAACAACAATAATTAAAGAGGTCATGAATGAGGAGTAGAGAAGAACATGGGAAGAGTTGAGAGGAGAGAGGGAAGAGGGAAATGATGTAAGTACAGTGCTCTTGTATGAAATCTCAAAAAAATTAAAATACTAAAATAATTTAAAAAGTGAATAAAGTGAGTTTATCATTTCATAGAAGCAATTTATAAAATGTTGCCAACGACAAAAAAATTAAGCTTTAGAGCAAAAAATTAGAACTGTGGAAAACCTGATGTTACTTGAACGGCTTCCTCTTCTTGTAAGATGATGGTATGGGTGGGTCAGTATTTAGATGTATAATTCCAAATGTGTGACAGGACAAAAACATTCTCTAAATCCCATTCAAAGTGTAAGAGGGACTGGGGACTTTAACAACAGGTCCTTGTGTTTTCAAATTCCTTACGTCACTAACCTTTGTGAAACCGTCAGAGACCACGTTCTGGTACACTGTCAAATAACAATATTCTCAGTCTAGCTACCAACTATGCCTTCCTCTCCAAATACACATGCCTGAAGCCGGAGTTTCTCTGTGTTCTTTAACTGATCCCCAGCATACCACAACAGACTAAATAAAAGAATCCAGCTGGCTTCTATTTCCAAAATGCTAAATAGTGCTGTTCCATTTTACTATTTTGGATGGTTATTTTCCAGAAAAGTATGTTACTTATGCTAACATATGCTACTTAAATTTTTCATTAAAATTCAGTTTGAAAAAAAAATTTAACAGGATCTCACTCTATAGCCTATGCTGTCCTCAAACTCACAGCAAGCCTCTTGCCTCAGCCTCCTGAGTGTAGGGATTACAGGGATGAGCTATCATACCCTATTTCAACTGGAATTTCTTTCTTTCTTTTTTCTTTTCTTTTTTTTTTTTTTTCCTGTTTTGGTTTTTTGAGACAGTGTTTGTCTGTATAGTCCTGACTGTCCAGAAGCTTACTTTGTAGACCAGGTTGGCCTTGAACTCACAGAGATCCGCCTGCCTCTACCTCCTGAGTGCTGGGATTAAAGGCGTGAGCCATCACCGCCCAGCCTCAGCTGGAACTTCTAATACTACACGACCCACATAAACAATAACTTTATAGACTCACTAATTTTAAGAGTGTAAAGGTAAGTATGTGAATTGCAGATATCAATTGAACCTGAAAACTGGTAGAACGTGATCCAGCTATACCCCAAAGGCACATGTTCTGAAACTCTCCGACTTAGCTATGTCTAGCTGGGGATCAGAAAAACTCACATAGAAATCTGTATTTCTGGCTTCCTCTGAAAAAATTCAGCCATCTGGCAAAATTCAGCCAACAGTGTTATAGGCTGGTGCTGAAGAGCTGCCCTCCTAGGCCAGGCAGAGGGACTTTGCCTCTCTGCAAGGGACATACTTATTACCTGCCCAGCCTCCATGGGCTCTGGGTGTGTGGTGGAGCTTCACCACGTTGGCTCACATTGAAGATTCTTCTGGCAAACCAGCCTGTGTACTGCACAGTACTGCCTGTAATTCTCATTTCTCACTAAAGTCCCACACAGTGGGTAACTCCCAGCCAACAACTAGAAATAGGGGTGTCATCTAGTCTTGCTTTATCTGATCAGAGACATACTAAATATGGATCCTATCCTATTCTGTGAAAATCAAGGTGTGCTGCATGTTGTCTCTAGCAAAAAACTCAACATGCTCTTATCAACATAACAGAGCTGGCCAAAATAAATGAAATTCCACTATGTGTGGTGTCAGCTCAGGTCCAAATCAGGTTTAAATGTTAAAGCAGGTGGGCCTATTCTCCTCATGAAGCTTTTCAACGTCTCTGCTAAAACTCTAAGAGCATCTGTGACAACTTTAGACTTGTCCCGGTGAGCCTCATGTTCAGGAGACTGCTCTCGGGAGTCCCTGTGGCATTTCCAGATTGCTCTCAGGCCACAGACAGACCCTGGAGCACCAGAGGCCGAGAGCTGCTGATGTCCCCTCTCCCAGGGTCCCCGATGCACTTACTGGTATGCCATGGCCCTGAAAACGCTTCACATCCTCTTCAAGAAGGGGAGTGGGGACAACAAAGTATGCTGGCAGCCTAGAAGAGAGAGGGGGCATCAACTGTAACCAAGTCTTTCTCTGTCCCACCAGCCAGTTCCCAAATAATGACACAGAGACTTTGTGTTAATTACGAAAGCTCGGCCCTTAGCTCTTATAACCTAAATTAATCCACTGTATTAATCAGTGTTCTATCACATGCGGTTACCGCTCTTCCATCTTGTACATCCTGTTTCCTCTCCGTATCTCCTGGCTTCTCCTTCATGCTTAGATTCCTCCTCCTCCTCTTTCTTTTTCTCCTCAGAAATCCTGCCTATACCTCCTGCCTAGCTATTGGCTGTTCAGCTTTTTATTACATCAATCACAGCAATATATCTTCACATAAGAGATGTAAAGTTTATATGGTTGAGAAACAAAAAAGCTTAAGTTGTTTATCTAAAAAAATGTTTTAGATCTAAAAAGATATTTTTAGAATGGTAATACAAGTTATGATAAAGAGTGATTTAGGCATAAAACTTTGGATTATTATCACTAAGGTTAAATAATAGAGCAGTTTCTCTGAATTTGCCAAATACAAATAGACTGGACATTGTGAATGTAATTCCTACTGTAATTCTTACCATATATAGTTTTACTATGTTAGAGTCAAGACCTTTCCTTCTTAAGCTGGGTGATGGTGGCACAATGTCTTTAATCCCAGTACTCGGGAGGCAGAGGCAGGTGGATCTCTGTGAGCTCAAGGCCAGCCTGGTCTACAAAGCCAGTTCCAGGACAGCTAGGGCTGTTACACAGAGAAACCCTGTCTCGAAAAAACAAACAAACAACAACAACAACAACAAAAACCTTTCCTTTTTATTTAGACAAAAAGGGAAATGTTGTGGGATATTTGTATACTGTGTGAAGATGTATTTGCTGTGATTGGTGTAATAAAAAGCTGATGGCCAATAGCTAGGCAGGAGGTACAGGTGGGACTTCTGAGTAGAGAGAGAAGATAGAGATTATTTAGGTGCATGAGAGATGCCAGAGGACAAGGAAGAAGCAAGATGGGCAGTATGTGACAGAACATAGATTAATAGAAATGGGTTATTAAGTCATAAGAGCTAGTTAAAAACAAGCTTAAGCTAAGGCCAAGCTTTCATAATTAATAAAGAAGTCTCAGTGTTGTTATTTGGGAGCTGTTGATGGGACAGGAAAAGACTCATTACAATCAGCTTTCAGTTCGACACTTAATTCACAAAATACGAAAGCTGACATCAGAGAATTCAAGGAAGTAACAATGAGCTACAAAAGGACCATACTTCCCAGTTAAGAACCCAAGATGAACTGCCACCCCTGGGTTGGTGACAAGTACTCTGAGCAAATAGATTAGGAATCCGGATTCGAACCCTAGCTCTGCCTATGGCTCTGCACAGCCCTGCCTCTGCTGACAAGGAAGGTAAACTGTTCTGCCTTTCTGGGTCTTGTGTCTTCTTCTACAAAATGAAGGAGATGAGGGATGTGGGTCCAGCTCTGCAACAGAGCCCTTGCCTAACATGCACAAGGCCCTTGGTTTGATCTTCAGCACTGAAAGAAGCAGAGATTGGAAAATGTGATATCTAAAAGTATACGAAGTCCAAAATCTCATCGAACAGTAACAACATAAACACCTGTGTTGCTCGCAATTAAACTAATATGAAAATCAGTAACCATGATGACTGCAGTCCACTTTATCACATACTCTGAGATGGGTATGGTGACAGACGCCTTTAATCCCAGTACTTGGGAGACCAGATCTCAGTGAGTTTAAGGCCAGCCTGGTCTATGTAGTGGGTTCCAAGACAGACAGAACTACATAGAAATACTCTCTCAAAACAACAAGAAACATTTGAAGAGTACTCCGTGTCAGACATTGCTCTAGTCCCTCACATGGATGATTCACTGACTCCAACACCACGATCAGATACGTAGTATGATTACTGTCAACTGTAGGACATGGGGAAGCTAGATTTTTTCAGAGGGATCAGAAACACATGGGCACACTGGCTCCTCCGTCAACAGACCCCTCCCGATGGAGCTGCAAACACCTCCCTCAAAGAGTTGGGAATACAGCACCTGAGACCTTAGAAGGCGCCTGTGCAGCTAAGCTGCAATGGATGCAACCAGACGGTGTCTGCAGACACACTGCAGGTTTGACCTCAATCTGACAACCATCAAGTCATGGAAAAGATACATTTCAGAAAAAGGAACGTTTTAATGTGTATATGTGTGTTCCTGAGCGTATGTCTGTGCACCATGTCCATGCACGTGACCTCGAAAGCCAGAAGTGGGTGTTGGACTCTTTGGAATTGGAGGTACAGACCACTGTAAGCCACCATGTGGGTGCTGAGAACCAAACTCCAGTCCTCTGCAAGAGCAGAAAGTAGTCTTATTTACTGGCTATCTCCCTAGCCCCATGGAAAGATGGCTCTTTAAAGCAAGGAGATCAAAACACAAATGATTGCTCCATCAATCAATCCACAAGAGGTGGACAAACATACTAAACATCACCAAGGGGTGTGGTCATTGAACTCCACACTATGGGAAACAATTAACAAACAGCTTGATTTCTTCAAGAAAAAGATGAGGGTTTGAGAATCCACACATAAAGTAACTTAGGAAACCCATTAAGATATGGCAAAATGCTACTCTGACTCTTTATTAACAGTAAGATTAAAAAGATGAAAGAGAGCCGGGCAGTAATGGTACATGCCTTTAATCCCAGCACTCAGGAGGCAAAGGCAGAGGTTGGCATTGAGTTCCAGGCCAGCCTGGTCTACAGAGTGAATTCCAGGACAGCCAGGGCTATACAGAGAAATCCTGTCTCAAAACAAAACAAAACAAAACAAAAAAGGATGAAAGAGAAATTTTTCAAAAATGAGTCAAGAACTGGTGGCACACGCCTATAATCTTATCTGTTGGGTGGCCAGCCTGGGATATATGGTGAAACCCTGTCTCAAAACATACACACACAAAATAAAACAACTTCTCTCTACCCGCAAGCCAAACCAAGTCATGAGGAAATTTTAAATACTAACTAGATGTCAAAGAAATAGTGTGAGGCTAGGTATGACACATTCCTTTAATCCCAGAATTTGAGAGGCAGAGGTAGGCGGATCTCTGAGTTTGAGGTCTGCCTGATCCTTATAGCAAGTTCCAGGCAAGTGCTTCAAAGGAAGACCCTGTCTCAAAAAACAAAAACCAACAAAAAAGTAGTGTGAATTTGAAAAGCATGATAATGGTTTCATGCTGTGTTTATTTAAAAAAATCTCAGTCCTTTGTTCTTTGCAATATATACTAAACATAAATGAGATGAGCTTTGAAATTCATTTCCAGGCAATCCAAAGGGAGACAAGTAGGTGGGGTATAGAGAGACAGGATTAGCTATGAATTAGTCATTGTTACACCCGGGTAATGGATAAAGGGAAGTTTGACATACATTGTTTTCCTATAATGCTTCCGAATTTGTATAATCAACCTTACAGCTCATTTGAAAGATTCATTTGTGCGTGTGCCTGTCTGATCTGGGTGCTGGTGGCCACAAGAGGAGGGGGTTCGATTCCCTGGGGCTAGAGTGATAGGCACTTGTTAGCAGTCAGACACACAGGCACAGGTCACTAAGTTGGGGTCCCTCTAGAAGAGCAGGAAGTGCTCTTAACTCCCAAGTCACCTCTCCAGCCCCTCACAAACAATTTGAAAAGGACAAAGATCCTATGAGATTGTGATGTATACCCAGGTCTGTGAACCACTGGTCCTAGCTAAGGCCCTCAAGTCAGTAAAAGTCTTAAGACCTTGACTTCTGAAGTTCTGAAGTACTTATATTTGATGTACCTGCCTGAGTGGGTGGCCAGTACGCTAATCTATCACTAAAGTACAAACATTATAACAGATCAATGGCTTTTAAACTCCAGATGTCCATTAAAAGCACAGGGAAGGATTAGAAAATTATCAAAATCCAGGCTTGACCCCATGCTTATAGAGGAGAAGCTTAAAGCTCTCCGGGAACGCAGTGGGCTGAAAGCTGCTGTCCTGGAATGCCCTGCGATCAGGGTGGACTGCAGCAGCACCTGAGCTCAGGAGGGATGCAGATCAGTCCTGGCCCACCTGCTCAGTCAGCACCCGCAGGCCCACAAGCTCTGGGGGTGACTGAGATTCCCAACTGTGGGAAGCACTGACTGGACAGTAACTTCTCCACAGGCCACCACTCTAACATCATCTGAGGAGTTCTATAAAGCAGATGTGCCCCTACCCCCCTACCCCCCCCCCCCCCCCCCCCCCCCCCCCCGTTCTAAAACACTTGCATGTCTTCCCCAATATTCTACAATGTTGGCTCTCTGGTTAAGTTTGTTTGTTTGTCTATCTATCTATCTATTTATTTATTTTTATGTGCGTTGGTGTTTTGCCATGGGTGTCGAATTACAGAGAGTCATGAGCTGTCCTGTGGGTGCTGGGAACTGAACCTGGGTCCTCGGGAAGAGCAGTCAGTGCTCTTAAACACTGAGCCACCTCTCTAGCCCCTCTGGTTAATTTTAGCCTCTGTCCCTGAGCAGTGCGGAAGAGCAGCACACCAGGCACAGGGTGGAGGGTGTTCTCACCTGTCCCACATAACTCGGGTGGATCCCAGGCAGTCTGTTGAGACTATGAGTAACTAGTCCGCCCTCTCTGAAAACCGTCACTTAGGCAGTGGGATGAGTTCAGAGTCAAGGGCCTCTCTCGGGGCATCTCCAGCCTGGGAAGCTGGGTGATCCATTCAGGCACAGCTGTAGTCTGGAAAGGCTATGCCTGGGGCAGAGCTGCATCTTGCTGTGTCAGCATTAGCTCAAGGGTCCCTCTGGGAAGCACACCCCCACGGGGTTAAACAGCCTCTTGTATCTCCACAAGGAGGTGGAATGAAGGAAGGATTTTAGGAGTGAACTGAAAAGGGGAGCAATGGGCTTGTGGCACCTGAGCGGACAGTTCTGACAATGCAGTTTCTCATTCTTACCCAGACCGACTGGGGGAGGGGTCATCTGAAACACCCGGATATAAAAAGCGCTATAAACCCACACTATTTTATGCGGCTGTCAGCAGCGTGCTAGGAAGCTATGTTCCCAAATGATAAGAGTCGAGTTTCTAAAAACAGATCCACAGAGTCATCCTTTAAAAATGTAGGCCAGATCACTCCCTGCCTCTGCTCAAACTCCCCCTCATTGTTCTCAGATTCAAAAAGGATAAATTCTTCTGGAAGCATCCAACCAGTCCCTCTCCTCAACCTCTCCTCCCTTTCCCTGGCGTGCTCCCCACAGCCCTGGGCCCCTGGCTGTCCCTGCCTATCAGGCTTCTCTGCCTCCCCTTCTCGCAGCTTGGACCAAAGGCCACTCACTTACTCCCGGGACCTTCCTGATCACCCTCTTCTCCACCACCTCCAGCTCTTCCAGGCTTCTGCCTGATGTGTGTTTCTCCGCAGTTTTGTTTCCATGCTGGTTATTGAACCCAGGGCCTCACACATGACGGGCGAGTGCCCTATCTCATCCAGTGTCTTTCTCAATAGCTCCCTACCTTGAATTTCTTCTGTGCATTACTGTGTGTCTATGAATGCGAGTGTGCACATGCCATGCTGCACGTGGAGTCAGGAGGCAGTTTTCAGAAGTCAGCTCTCTACTTCCACCACAGGCCCTGAGGATCAAGCTCAGGGTCATGTGGCAAGCAGTTTTACCTGCTAAGACATCTTTTTTCAGATAGGGTCCATCACTGAACCTGGAGCTCACCAACTGGCTAGAATGGATGGCCAGCAAGCCCCGGGGACCATCCATCCTGTCTTCACCTGCCCAGCATTGGGATTACAGGCACATACATTTCTTTACACAGGTTCTGGGGATCAAACTGAGGTCCTCATCCTGTGGGGGAAGCACTTTGCCACCTAAGCCGTCTTCCCAACTCCACTTTTTTTTTTTTTTTGAGACAAGGTTTCTCTGTGTAACAGCCCTGTCTGTCCTGGAACTAGCTCTGTAGACCAGGCTACCCTCAAATTTACAGAGATTCACGTGCCTCTGCCTCCCAAGTGCTGGGATTAAAGGTGTGCGCCACCACGGCCCAGCTCCCAACCCCACTTTTCAGTGTCAGTGTCCTAATAGATGCGTTAAAGGTTTCTGTTAAAGATTTCTGTTGGGAAGAGTGGAGGTGCGGCTCAGTGGCCCGCGCTTCCGGGCATGCACAAGGCTGAGGTGGCTGTCTCCCACATCACTAACAAACAGTAACAGGAAAAGTCAGGGCTGAAACAAGGAAGCTTTACACACTTGATGGGAGAGCCAAACGGCACCACATCTGGGGCAGCTAGTCTGGTTATTCCTCAACAGCTAAACACAGTCAATCCCTCGTTTCGGCACTGTATCAGATTACATACTGAAGAGAAATAAAAACCATATCCTCATAAAAACTTTAAATGCTTATGGCAAGTGAATGGGTAAATAAAACATGGTATGTCCATACTATGGAATATCATTTGGCAATAAAAAGAAAAAGCCAGAGGTGTTGGTGCACATCTGTGCTGGATACTCAGGAGACTGAAGCAGGAAGATCTTAGGTTTGAGGCTAATTTGGGTTAATTAGTGAGTTCGAGACCCACCTAGTGCCACAGAAAGACCCTGTCTCAAAACAAACAAACAAACACAAGGCAGTCATAAAAGACCACCTATCCTATGTTTTATTTATAAAAAGTGTCCAAACAGGCAAATGTATGATTTGCTTAGGAATTGGCACAGGGAGGAGAACTGAGGAGAAATGAGGGTAACTGTTAATTTGGGTTTTCTTTACTAGATGATGGAAACATTCCAAAACTTACTGTGATGATAATCACACAATGTCAACACATTCAAACACCGTGTGGGGGGCTAGAGAGATGGCTCAGGGGTTAGTTTGTTTTGTTTTGAGTTAGGGTCTCTTTACATAGCCCTGGTTGTCATGGAACTCGCTATGTAGACCAGGCTTGCCGCAAACACAGAGATCCACCTCTTTCTGCTTCCCAAGTACTGGGATTAAAGGTGTGGGCCACTATGTGTGTGCTATTCTTCCAAAGGACCAGAGTCCAGTTCACAGCACCCAGTTTACCAACAGCTCACAGCTCCTATAACTCCAGCTCCGTGGGATCTGTGATGGCTCATCTTGGTTGTTAACTTGACTATATCTGAAACCAACTAAAACACAAGCTTCTGGGTACTCCTTGAGGAACTTTCTTGGTCACATTTGAAATAAAAAGGCACATTAAATGTGGGCGCCCCTTCTAGTGGAAGTTTGGACAAAGGACAGGAAAAAGAAAATTGCTTTTTTTTTTTTGGCCTGCTTGCCCTCACTTTTGCTGACAAGATCATTTTATCTATTGCTGTGGTATTCCTTTGCTGGTATCAGAAACAACTTCTTCCAGAGTTCAGCACAGACTGAAGATGAGCAGCTCTCCAGGAGTCCTCCAGTCCTCCAGTGCTGGACTAGGACCATTGAGACAGCCAGCCTTGTCGACTGAGCAACCACTGGATTCTCAACTTCTCCAGAGTGAGGCCGCCATGGCTGGACTACCCAAACCACACCCTGTGAACCACTCCAATAAATCGTGTGTGTGTGTGTGTGTGTGTGTGTGTGTGTGTGTGTGTGTATCCCAGTGCTCCTTCAAAGAACCCTAATATACGATCTGAGGCCATCTTCTGGCCTCCAAGGGCACCCACAGACACATATGCACATCCCCACACACATATGAACATAACTAATGGTGAGAGCCAACGTGGAGAGCTTACCTGTCACAGATTCTGTAGCCTTCATTCACATTCACTGTTTTGTACTTCACACTACCCTTGGTCCGCTCCAGCTCCCAACACCAGTCTTTAGGTGTGTCAAACATTACAGTATGGTTCTTGGGATCAATGGCTAAGAAAAAAAATTAGCACACAGTCAAGTCTTTGCACGACACTGGTATTTTGTTCATGTGGACACATAAGCTCTGAACCCAATTTATTACACTGAGTGTTTTTATCTAAGAAGAATAAATTCACAGTTTAATTGTTCCATTTTTCTCCATTTTTCTGTCATTAATCCAAAAACTGTAATGGAAAGTTTACTGAAATTTTCATTACATTTACGTATTTTGTGGGGGGGAAGGGAGCACGGCATGCCTGTCACAGCGCACATATGTTGGTCTGAGGACAACATGAAGGAATCAGCTCTCCTCTCACCGTGTGGGTGCTGGGGATTCAACTCAGCTGTCACGTCTGGAGGCAAGCACATTTACCTGCTGAGTCCTCACACTGGTCCATGCTGTCTCTTCATAGTGGAGGAAAGGAGTTCTGTTTCTAAAGGTCAGTTTTCACTATTTTACGTGTATCTGTTTCTGTATGCCCAGAGTGTGTGGGAAACTGTGGAGTCTGGAAAATGGTGCTGGAGCCCTGGAGCTGAAGTTACAGGCGGTTGTGAGCCACTCAATATGGGTGCTAAGGACTGAACTGGGTCCTCGGGGAAAGCAGCATGTAGTCTTAGCTACTAAGCCATCCCTCCAGCCCCAAGAGGTTATTCTTGTTCCATTCCTTGCAAAAGCAATTTCTAGCTCGATTTTCAGTCATCTGCCCATGACATAATTTATATAAAACAAAAATTCTGTGAAGCATTGAAAGATGGGCTTGGCACCAAAGCTAAGAAATGAAGTATTTTTAGCCCTACCACATGTGTATAATAACATGGCACACTGATTAGAACAGCATGTCCGATTCCGGAATGTAAATCTTTCCTCAGTTTGTGATGTGCTGCTGAGAGCGGCCTGTCCAGGATGGCACTCGGTTACTGAAAGCCATCAACAGATCAGAGAGTCACAGTGGAGGAAGTGGCCAATAGCCAAGGCCTGCATCATGGTGACAGGAACTTTGGCTACAAAATCAGCACTGTTAGAACAAAATGTCCAGAAGTGCTGCCCAAAGCTCAGCAGAAATGGCTGTGGCCTTTCTCCAGACCATCACTGATTGCTGGAAGTGACATGCACATCGAAAAACCCCAACTTCCTAGAAAATAAGTGTTTGCTAAAACGACCCCACCTGCTTCTGTTAAATAAAACAAAATTACAGTAACAGTAGTTAGAACAATGACAACAGTAAATGTTTACATAAGTTGAATATTCCTAATCTAAAAAGAAAAAAGAAAATCTGAAATTTCTTGACTGCCAATGTGATCTCTCAAGTGGAAAATTCCACACCTGACCTCAGGCCACAGTCAAAGCACAGACACATTAAAAATATTGTATAACCAGGCAGTGGTGGTTCATGCCTTTAATCCTAGCACTTGGGAGATGGAGACAGAGACAGGTGGATCTCTGAGTTTGAGGCCAGCCTGGTTTAAAAGCAGGTTCCAAGACAGCCAGGGCCACACAGAGAAACTCTGTCTGGGGGAAGGGGGAGTGTAAGTGAGCTAGAAAATCTGCTCCATGGTTAAGAGCACTGGCTGTTCCTTCAGACTACCGGGGTTCAATTTCTAACACCTACACAGCAGCTCCTAACTGCTTCTAGCTCCAGTCTTAGGAGATTCAGTGTCCTCCTCTGGTCACAACAGATAACAAGCACACATGTGGTACATGCATTCATGCAAGCAAGCAATCATACACATAAAAATAAATCTAAAAAGATACATAAGACAGGAACAGTATCATGCCTATAATGTCAACATTTAGATGGCTAAAGTAGGATCTTGAGTTTAAGGGCAGCCTGAGCTACATACTAGAACCCTGCCTCAACTCAGGTCACAGGGCCTTTACCTGATGAGCAGCTCAGCCTTCTTCTCAACAAACTAGCAAACACTCAGAATTGTAAATAATATTCATTCCTCCCATCCCCTCCACTTACACACAGGGTATCACTCTGTGTGCACTGGTAGGCCTGGCATGTTTTCTTTTATCAAGCCAGACTACTAGAGTGCTTTTGGTGTCCATGCCCCCCCCACCAGCTGAGGACCGAACCCAGGGCCTCTCGCTTGCTAGGCAAGTGCTCTACCACTGAGCTAAATCCCCAACTCCAAATTTTTCTTCTTCTTTTTTTTTTTGATTTTTCGAGACAGGGTTTTCTCTGTGTAGCTTTGCGCATTTCCTGGAACTCACTCTGTGCACCAGGCTGGCCTCAAACTCACAGAGATCCGCCTGCCTCTGCCTCCCGAGTGCTGGGATTAAAGGCGTGTGCCACCACTGAGCGCTTTTCTTATGAACAAATGCCTTGTGTCCACCAAACATCTACTATATATTGTTCTTTCTTTATTTCAAACTTTAAATATATGGTATCCTCTAGAATCTTAAATAAACTCAAGTATATTTATGTAGAAAAAAAGAACCCAGAGACAAATAGAATTATTTTAAATTTTGTCTCAATTTTGTTTTTCCAATAGTTTCACCTTTCCAGTATAACATTGATTTTACCTTTTCTTAATTCATAAAAATTAAAGTCCAGGCTGGAGAGATGGCTCAGAGGTTAAGAGCACCGACTATTCTTCCAGAGGTTCTGAGTTCAATTCCCAGCATCCACATGGTGGCTCACAACCATCTGTAATGAGATCTGGCACCCTCTTCTGTGTACATAATAAATAAATAAATCTTAAAAAAAAATTAAAGTCCACTTGTGTGTGAACACTCGCATACACATGTGGGCACCAGAGGTTGACACCACGTATGTTTCTCTACTGCTCTCCGACTTATTGTTGAGGTAGTGCCCCTCACTGAACCTAGACCTCGCTCTTTTGGCTAGACTGGCTGGCCAGAAAGCTCCCACAATCTGTTTCTGCCAGCAGTCCTCGGGCTCCAGACATGCACCGCTGCACCTGTCTTTTACATGGATGCCAGGAACCGAAACTCTTCATGCCTTCACAGCAGACATTTTTACCCACCAAGCCATCTCTCTAGCCCCTGATTTGACTTTTCATAAGTAACCACACAAATAATTCATCGCAACGTGAAAGCAAACAGACCTAAAAGATCAGTTAAGCAAAGATCCCAGGAAAAGAAGAGAACTCCTGAATGAATCATGTATTAGATGCTTGCAACCAAATGCATGTTGTCGTTCAGGGAGTATCCTGGTTGGTTTTATGTCAACTTGACACAAGCTACATTCATCTGAAAAGAGGGAACCTCAATTGATAAAATGCCTTCCTAAGATCAGGCTGGAGGACATTTTCTTAATTAGTGATTGATGAGGGCAGGTCCAGCCCACAGTGGGTGGTGCCATCCCTGGGCTGGTGGTCCTGGGTCCTAGAAGAGAGCAGACTGAGCAAGGCACAGAAAGCAATCCAGTAAACAGCTCTCCTCCATGGACTCTGCATCAGCTCCTGTCTTCAGGTTCCTGCCCTGTTTGAGTTCCTGTCCTGACTTCCTTCAGTGATGGACTACGATTTGGAAGTGTAATAAAATAAACCCTTTCCTGCCCAGCTTGCTTTTGGTCATGGTGTTTCATCATAGCAATGGTGACCTAACTAAGACAGGGGGGACGCAGATACTTTGAGAGATTAGGCATTCCTGGAGGAAGCAGGTCCCTGCAGTGTGTCTGCTAAAGTTATGTCTGGTTTCTGTTTCCTTCTTCTTTTTCTATTTCCCGTCCCTCACCAGGAGGTGAACAGCCTTCAAGCTGTTCCACAAGCCCATGGGCCAAGCCACCACGGAGTGAACCCTCTCAACGGTGAACCTTTTCTGTCTTCCCTTTTCTGGCATGTATTTGGTCATAGTGATACAAACTCATTAAGATGGGGTTTCCCTTCCTGACTACAGGGGAGAAGAGAAAGGAACCTTCTGGGGCTGGGGACACTTGCTGGGAATCCCAGCATTCAGGAGACCAAGGCAGGAAGTTCCTGAGTTTGAGAGACAAAACCAAAATGAATAGCAAGGATCCTGACTATTCAGCAACAATAGCTCCGAAGAGACTTACCTGTGCTGTGCACAGCAGCTGCATAGGAAAACAGAAACAGTCTTTTCAGCAGTTTAGGAGCTTGGGTGTGATGGATTATGCCACTGACAATCTAGAGAAAAAAGGACCAATGGATACTGTCATGCTTCTCATAGATCAGCGCTAAGAAAAGCAGGCACCAATTCTGTTCTCTGTCACACTAATGGGCTCTGGGGACAACACAACCCTTGCTGAACTTGGATCTATGAGTAGGCTCTTGGAAGAGTGCCAGAGCAACAGAATACTATTTTGTCATGCTTTCTAAGAGCTCTGAATTTCTAGGGAAAATTTAAAACACAGTCTAATTTCCCCAAAACCAAGAGTTAAAAATCTCAACTGCCCTATGAGGTCAGGTCCAAATATCCAACATGCCCGAGACTCACAATTGATAACAGAGAATAAGCAGTACACTTAGCTGACTCACTTTTGGCTCCTCTAGACAATGGAGGAATGGGGCCAGGCATGTAGCTCAGTTAGCAGTATGCTTGCCTAGCATGCACAAAGCCCTAGTAGCACATGCTTATAGTCCCAGCACTCAGGAGGTAGAGGGAGGAGGAGCAAAGCTTCAAGGCCAGCCTGGGCTACACAAGACCTTGTCTCAAAAGGAAAAAAAAAGAAATCCATCACTGTGCTCTCTATCTACTGTGCTAATCAAAAGTATGTTTTGATAAATGACTAAAATAACTGTTCAAATGGAAATGCTTCGTTACTCAGGGAGTTTTCTCTATCTACAGCTTTCTCTGCCTGCTCAGAATAGATACTACAATCACACTTACTATTCTAACTGAACTACCATACTATCTCAAAGAAAATGAAGGCATTACCCATAGCGTGCATAATTCATTGCACATAAGACAGTATAAGCAAACTGGCTTCTTGTTGGGCTTTCCCTAACGCGAGCACCATGAGAGGGGCGAGTTTGAGACCTTCCCTGTCTCAGCAGGAAAAACCTTGGAAATTATAATGAATCACAGCAAACTGGTGCAGCCATTTCCTGACCGCAACTCGATGTGTCCACCAGGAAATGATGCTTAATCTTTACAGGTGCACCTAGTGACCCAACTGTGCTCATGGAACAACTGCTGTTTTGTAGAGGTAAACACACAGATTCTCAGGAGCTGGAAGTCAGCACTCGTGTGTGAGGCAGACTGTAGAGGAAGGGCCAGCCTTAGCTGTCTTTTCCTCCCCATTCCCCAGCAGACCCTGACCTCACTCATCACCTCCCACTCACCCTTTAGTAGCTCTAGGTAACCAGCACTATGGTGCTTGTCCCAACTATCTCTCACACACTAATCCAAGAATGAGATTACAGCTTCATCTTCAGAGTGAAAGGCTCCCTTCCACCTCCAGGCAATGTAAGCAAAACCTACAGTCAGTGGGGGAAACCCTGACGGGAAATAAACCTAAAAACACATGCAGCTAGTTACCCTTTTGACTTCCTCTTCCTTTGTGTACCTCAGACAAAAGTGTAGCACCCGCAGATCTTTGCAGTGGATAACAAGCTTCTCGGGGTATTTCTTCAGTTGTCCAAACAGAGGTTTCTTTTTCTCATCAAACACTACAGAACAATGATGAAATCATGAGTAGAAATGAATGTTACATGGCAACAAATTCACGCTAAAGGAACAGGTAGACTGTTAGCTTTCAAGGACAGAAGTCTCTCCCAGAAGTATTTGTTTTTGTTTTTTTTGTGACTGTTTTGTTTGTTTGTTTGTTTGTTTTGGGATTTTCAAGACAGGGTTTCTCTGGGTAATTCTGGCTGTTCTGGATCTAAGTTTTTAGATCAGAATGGCCTCCAACTCTGAGATCCACCTGCCTTTGCCTCTAAGGTGCTGGGATTAAAGGTGTGTGCCACCACGTCAGGCTTCTAGCAGGATTCTTTATTCCTCAGGAATAAGCCTAAGACTCAAATGGACAGAGCAGACTCCAACAGCCTGAAGAAAGCCCAGCTCTGATGGGTCTGAGAGACAGCAGCTAATTGTGTGCCCTTATAAACTTTGGCTGAAGATCAGAGAAAACAAGCCACTAGATTAAATACAGATGCCAGGGGGTGGTGACACACACCTTTAATCCTAGCACTCGGGAGGCAGAGATCTGTCTGGATCTCTGTGAGTTTAAAACCACCCTAGACTACATGAGATTGACTCAGTATAAGAGAGAAACAGAGCCAGGTATGGTGACACACATCTTTAATCCCAGGACTTGATATCTCATGCCTTTGCTTGGGAAGCACACATGCCTTTAATCTCAGGAAGTAATGGCCGGGTGGAGAAAGGTATATAAGGCGTGAGGAGACAGGAACTGAAGTTTTTCAGGCTGAGGAGTCCTAGAGGTAAGACGAGGCAGTGGCTTGTTCCTTTGTCTCTCTGATCTTTAGGCAAATTTTATTAGGGAACACAATATATCACCACACAGCTATGAGCACTTCCTGCTCTTCCAAAGGACCAGAGTTCAGTTCCTAGCATCCATGTCAGGCAGTTCACAACTGCCTGTAACTCCAGCTCCAGGGAACTGGATACCCTCTTCTGACCTCTGCTCACACACACGCACACACACACTAAATAAACCTTGGGTCCAGGGAGATAGCTCAGTGGTTAAGAGCACTTGTTGCTCTTGCAGAAGAGAGGGTTGCTTTCCAGCACAAACATGAAGGGAGGCTCACCACCATGTGTAACTCCAGTTCTAGGAGATCCAACACCCTCTTTGGCCTCCTCAGGCATGGGCATGCATATATATATGCAAACACTCATACATATAAAACTTAAAAATAAATAAATACTTAAAAAGGAAAAGCTGCCAAACTGCAAAAGTTGAGCTCATAATGGATGGAAGGGAGAGTGTTGGGGATACAGTTTCATGCTGGCCAACTCCTACATCTATGGCTAGAGTCTCTCTTAACATTTCCACCCCTGCTCCAGAGCCTGGACTCACTCAGCACCTACTGGGGTTGAGAATACCATACGTGGCTGAACAATTTCTGAAAACATCCAAAAGAAAACAGAGTGAGGTTTGGAAGGGCAATCTTATTAAGTCAGCAGAAAAGATATCCTAATATACAATCAAGTTTTTTTTTTAGACAAGGTTTCTGTCCTGGAACTCACTTTATAGACCAGGCTAGCTTCAAACTCAGAGATCCACCTACCTCTGCCTTCTGGGATTGAAGGTATGCACCATCACATCTGGCTCAGGTTTTTCTTTTCTTTCTTTTTTCTTTTTTCTTTAAATTTTCCTTGTGTATACTCACTGAACATGATACTATGTTTTCTAAGGACACTGTCATACAAGCATTTAATGTGTGTCAAGCACATGCCCATTACTTGCATACAATGAACCTTAACTGATCAACATCCAACTCAGAATAGGCTGGTGTGAGGATGAGAAAACAGGCTTCCGGCTAGGTGTGCTGCCTTGCACCTGAAAACTCAGCACTCAGGAGCAAGAGCCAGAGGCAAGAAGATAAAGAGTTTGAGGCTAGTGGGCTACATTAAAACAAGCAAACAAGCAAACTGTCTCCCCAAACCCCCGCCCACCAAAAAAAGAGGTGAGTCAATGAGTAAAGGACTTGCCACTAAGCCCGATGACCTGAGTTCGATCCCCAGGACCCACAGGTGGAAGCTCCTGCATGTTGTCCTCTGACCCCCACGTGCACACTCACACAAATCTTAAAAGAATGAGGTAGAGAGGAGGAGCCAAGCCCAGCTTGGTTTACTTCACCCAAGGAAGCCTGGGTAGCTACTCTATGCTGCACTTCACCATTCACAAAGCTGCTTTACACACGGTAACTTAAGTAACACAGTTAAACAGACTGTACGAATATCATCATTATTGCTATATATTCTGAGGCAGGCAAAGTAACAAGGGAAGGAGACACTCACCTCCATAAATCTGATCCACACAGTGAAGTGGAACATCATTTGCTCCCACAATCTTATTCTTAAACTGAGTTTCCTAAAAAGAAAAAAAAAATCAAAAGAAATAACTGTGACTCCTTTCAATAAACTCAGATGTTCATAGCAAAGCAAATCACTGTTCTCCACTGTACACTGAGAAAGACATCTCCCCCATGCCCCCAAGAAAGGGATGCTGCAGTACATGTGAGAAAATCTCCTGAGAACCAGCTGATTCAGTCCAGGGAGAACATGCCACTTCTGGGCTGCACCGAGGAAACCCACTCACTGCGCACTAAAACTCAAGTGCAGACGTAACAGTAGTCCTTCTGCACACAAGTGCAGACAGGCGGAGACAAGCTACCTACCTGGGCAGCTTTGAGAAGCACTGCTTTGAGAGTCAAGTGTTTGGCAAAGCTGTCTTTGCTCAGCTCTAGGAGCCAAGCCCTGCAGTGGACAGCGGTGCAGGGGGCCAGCCTGAGAGTAGCAACAGTGCTGCTTTATGCGAAGCAAAGGGGTCCAGGGCAGCTGGCACACGGGGGTCAGGCGGGGCCCCGTGGGGTTCCCACCGGGTGTAGTGCTGTCCGGCCCTCCTCTACTGCTCCCTCCTAAGTAGTCACAAGTCTCACAACAACACTGCAACTAGGTTCGGAACAAACAGAAACAACCTCAGACCCCAGTTCCCGAATCTGTGAAAGAGCTTAGTAGAGGGGAACATGAGGAACTGGACACGGTGGGAGAGGCTGGTCCAACAAGTGACTCAGGCTGTGCTGAATTCAGTAGCAATCGGGGAAGAGTTGATGATGTCGGCTTGGAAGGGCAAAAGCAAGCATGAAGCACAGGTCAGGATTTCTAGGAGGTCCTCCTGGTGGCGTGAGCCCCTGCAGGGCAAGGGCAGACCACTAACGAGAGGCTGGCCTCTGCTTGTGTGGGGAGGAGAAAGGCTGCAGGGGCAGCACCGGATCCCAGCGGCACTTCCCCTACCACTCAGCAAGCGCAGCTCATACGTACACCACCGTTGTCCAGGGCGGAGTCCTCATCCCCCAAGAAGGCGATCTTGAAGTCAGTGCAGACCAGTCTCCCGTAGACGCCACTCAGACAGGAGTCTTCCTGGACGTACTTCATGACTATGCTGGCTTCACAGAGCAGTTGTTCACCTGATGGAGACACAGCAGCTCTCCTCAGAGGCCTTGGGGAACACACGGAACCGTTTTCTCACGGTGTACAGCAGGACAAACCCACAGTCCAGCCCACTCCAGAGGGGCAGGGACTGCAAACAGAGGAGCGGAAGGGAAGCAGAGCAGAGAACCAAATGGCCCAGACACACTTCATGCTGAGACTTCTCTGACCTCTCACAAGTTCAAGCCTCTTCTCTCTCCTTTGCTTGGAGACAGGGTCTCACTAGATTACACAGTCTGGCTTTGAGTTCACTGTGTAGCCTGAGCTGGCTGCCTTAACTCATAGTAATCCTCCTGCCTCAGCCTCCCAAGTGCTGGGATGAGAGCTGTGTCTCCTTCACCTGCCTTTCAGCTACCTTCTCTAGTGTAGATCTTGATGTTTTTATTACTCTGACAGTAGGTGTCCCACCATACTAGAAGTGGAGCAAAGGCGGGCAGGCAGGCAGGCAGGCCGCAGGGCCCGGATTCAGACTCGGCCCCTTTTTCTGTGTGAGCCAGGGAGGGGTTCTGTGCAGCTCCCTCAGATGACAGGGGTGCTGGCTCATGTCGGAGGATGAGAGAGAAACGGAGGTCATGAGGTGAGGGGGCACAGTCTCTCTTTCTTAGTTCAAAGCGTTTCCTCTCGAGTGCCACCCCACCCCCACCCGCTCCATCTGCAGGCACCCAGCCCACAGTAGAAGCTATAGTTCCTGAAGACAGACTCCATAGCCCAAAGCACTAGGGTGGAGCCAGGGGAGCCTCTGCTCCCCAGAAGCAGAGAAAACCTGCTGGTGTCTGGGTGAGGACAAGAAGAGACAGACACATAGGAAATAAGAGTCAACTCTGCAGCAACAACAACAACAGAGGGATTTTCTTGTCATCTGACAGATAACCGTCTTCCCCTAGGGCCTCCCTCCGGCTTTCTTCACCTCTGAATTCACTTGTTGGTTAAAAATTCATTTGATCTAGTTTTTAATCCCAGCACTTGGAAGGCAGAGGCAGGCAGACCTTCGAGGTCAGCCTGGTCTACAAAGTGATTTCCAGGACAGCCAAGATTCCACAGAGAAACCCTGTCTTGGAGGTGTGGGGGAGGGGTGATAAAAAGTCAGGCATCCTTGTTACAGGAAAACACACATTACGAGGAAAAGAAAACCCTTTGAAACGGGACACAGCATGCACGTCTGTGAGCCCAGGACTCAGGAGAGGCAGCAGAAGGGTCACAAATCCCAGCCAGCCTGAGCTGTGTGAAACCCAGTTTCAAAATAAACAAAACACTTAAAAAGAAAGGATTTTTATACAGTTGGCAACATTTTCCACATAAGAGGGAGACATGCCACCAAGAGGTCTCTGTTCTTGAACTCAGAAGTGATACACCAGCAGACAGATGGGTGAGGCTCCCACCACCAGTCCTGGAGGCCCAGGCAGCTGTGAGATCTGAGAGCAACTATGGACAGAGGCAGCGGGAAGTACATGCAGACTAAGGGATTCTTCCAGGGACTAGGATTTTCTTGAGTGGAGACCAGAAATACTGGACAAAGCCAAGTAGGACACCCTCAGAAAGGCTTCACTGACTTGTGAAAGAAGTGAGAATTTCTCATTTATTCCCATCAGGCTGGAGGAAAGGGAAACAAGGAAAATTCCTTCCAAATGTTGTAACACCCTGAGCCAGGTGTGTGGTTACTGAAGACCTTGGCATCTTTATTAGGATACATCATCACTGTTCTGTGCCAGAGGATGAGAACAAAAGAGTTTATAACAGCAACACTAGGGATGACGTAATCGATCTCTGGCCTTGAGCTGAGTGTGAGATATGATGCTAACATGACCGTTACCTGGCAACAAGTGAAGAGAGACTTCCTTCTGCGTTAATTCCTTTTCAGTTGTGTGAATTTCCTATAAATAAATAAATAAATAAATAAATAAATAAATAAATAAATAAATAAATACAAAAGCAAAAGGTCACGATTTTCTTTTATTAAGGGCCCAAAATAACAATAAAGGCACGCTTTTAGAATACATATTAAACTACCACCTCTGCTCAGGACGTTTATGTTGATTTAATAAGCTACTGTTATTACTTTTATTTACTGTGTATGTATAGACATGCAAGCACAGGCACGTGCCACTGTGTGTATGTGTGGGGGGGGGTCAGAGAACAAGTGGTAGGAACTGGATTTCTCCTTCTACCATGTAAGGGATCAAACAAGTACATTATTCACTAAACTACCTCACCGGCCTTTAACAAGCTACTCTTAAATGCACGTTTAGGGAGCTGGAGCTGTTGCCTAGCATGCATAAATCCCCAGCATGAAAAGCAAAAGCAAGCAAACAAACAAAAGCAGAATGTAGAGAGAGGACTCCTTCAGTAAAGTACTTGCTGCACGAGCATATGGGGACCTAAACTCAGTCGCCAATGCTCGTGTAAAAGCTGGGCACAGCAGCGTGCACCTGCAATCCCAACACTGGGAAAGCAGAGACAGGGGGATCCCTGAGGCTCTTTGGCTAGCTAGTCTAGCCAAACAGGCTCAGTGAGAGACTGTCTCAAAAACAACATGGAGGGCAACTAAAGAAGACACCCAATATCAACTTGTGGCCTCCATAAGCACACACATGCACATGTACCTTGTCTGTACTGACTACATACTGTCCTGTGGTCCTCTGTCTGTTACAGATATTTTATCTGTACTGACTACATACTGTCCTGTGTCCTCTGTCTGTCTGTTACAGATATTTTGTCTCTACTGACTACATACTGTCCTGTGTGTTCCTCTGTCTGTTATAGATATTTTGTCTGTACTGACTACATATATGTATACATATACAAACAGGATGTGGCAGAACATGATGGTAAAAACAGCACTCAAAGAGGTGGGGGCAGGAGGATCAAGAAGTTCAAGGTCATTCTTGGCTGTATAGGAAATATGAGGCCAGGTTGGCCTGTCTTAAAAAAAAAAAAAAAAAAGAGCTGGGTGGTGGTGGCACACATCTTAATCCCAGCACTCGGGAGGCAGAGGCAGGCAGATCTCTTGAGTTCAAGGCCAGCCTGGTCTACAGAGTGAGTTCCAGGACAGGCTCCAAAGCTACACAGAGAAACCATCTCAAAAAACCAAATAAATAAATAAATAAATCTTTTAAATAAAAGTGGACAGAAAATTCCAGCAAGTTTTAGTGATAGTCAGTATATTAAACTAGATTTTTAAGATTTATATCTATTACTTATCCCAAACAGAAAGGCTGCGGTAGGCATCCCTTATATGAAGGAACAAGTTAAAGATGACATCTAGGCAAAGAAACATAACTCAGACACAGATTCAGGAAGAAAAAGGAGACATGTCAGAGAATAAGCTCCTCTCTCTCCAAAGAAAACCAACAGTTAAAAGCAAGAGATACTGAGTCATCTTAGGGGAAAAAAAGTCCAGTCTATCTCTAAAAGACAGACAGAGGAACACAGGACAGTATGTAGTCAGTACAGACAAAATATCTATAACAGACAGACAGAGGAACACAGGACAGTATGTAGTCAGTACAGACAAAATATCTATAACAGACAGAGGACACAGGACAGTATGTAGTCAGTACAGACAAAATATCTATAACAGACAGAGGACACAGGACAGTATGTAGTCAGTACAGATAAAATATCTGTAACAGACAGAGGAACACAGGACAGTATGTAGTCAGTACAGACAAAATATCTATAACAGACAGAGGACACAGGACATATGTAGTCAGTACAGACAAAATATCTATAACAGACAGACAGAGGACACAGGACAGTATGTAGTCAGTACAGACAAAATATCTATAACAGACAGACAGAGGACACAGGACAGTATGTAGTCAGTACAGACAAAATATCTATAACAGACAGGGGAACACAGGACAGTATGTAGTCAGTACAGACAAAATATCTATAACAGACAGACAGAGGGACACAGGACAGTATGTAGTCAGTACAGACAAAATATCTATAACAGACAGACAGAGGACACAGGACAGCATGTAGTCAGTACAGACAAAATATCTATAACAGACAGACAGAGGACACAGGACAGTATGTAGTCAGTACAGACAAAATATCTATAACAGACAGAGGACACAGGACAGTATGTAGTCAGTACAGACAAAATATCTATAACAGACAGAGGACACAGGACAGTATGTAGTCAGTACAGACAAAATATCTATAACAGACAGAGGAACACAGGACAGTATGTAGTCAGTACAGACAAAATATCTATAACAGACAGACAGAGGGACACAGGACAGTATGTAGTCAGTACAGACAAAATATCTATAACAGACAGACAGAGGACACAGGACAGTATGTAGTCAGTACAGACAAAATATCTATAACAGACAGACAGAGGACACAGGACAGTATGTAGTCAGTACAGACAAAATATCTATAACAGACAGACAGAGGACACAGGACAGTATGTAGTCAGTACAGACAAAATATCTATAACAGACAGACAGAGGACACAGGACGGTATGTAGTCAGTACAGACAAAATATCTATAACAGACAGACAGAGGACACAGGACGGTATGTAGTCAGTACAGACAAAATATCTATAACAGACAGACAGAGGACACAGGACAGTATGTAGTCAGTACAGACAAAATATCTATAACAGACAGAGGACACAGGACAGTATGTAGTCAGTACAGACAAAGTATCTATAACAGACAGACAGAGGACACAGGACAGTATGTAGTCAGTACAGACAAAATATCTATAACAGACAGACAGAGGACACAGGACAGTATGTAGTCAGTACAGACAAAATATCTATAACAGACAGACAGAGGACACAGGACAGTATGTAGTCAGTACAGATAAAGTATCTATAACAGACAGACAGAGGACACAGGACAGTACGTAGCCTGTACAGATCCAACTACTCTATGTAGCACACTAGTTTAGGACTCAGTGAAGACACCTGCAATACCCACTGTCTACTCCAAGTGACTTAAAACCACAAGATGTTGCCCCGAGTTGCAATCACTTCTACTGGAGAATCAAGGCCTGGCTCAATGTCGGTTTCTCAATATCTATCCTCATGTCCCTCTATTTTGTGTTCAGCATTTATTGGATATTCAAGGATAATTTGTAAAATTGAATGAGTGATGCTTGCTCCTTTGCTAAGTAGTGACTTAGTACAAACACTTGTTAACATGACAGGATACTAAGCTTCCTAGTGAAGTCATCCAAGTCATCTAAAAAGTATTCCTACCAAAACACCTAATCTCAAACACACCTGGAATCCAAGGCTCGAGAGACAGAGAGATTGTATGTTCGAACAGCATGAGCTACACAAGGAAGTCTAGGTCAGCCTGGGATACGGAGTGAGACCCAGCCAAGGGCAGATGGGTAGAAGAAGGAAGCAGGGAAGGAGGGAAGGAGGGAAGGAAAAGGGCAGGCTGGTGGTGCAAGCCTGTGACCCCAGTCACTCATTAGGCCCCAGCACACCCAAACAGTGTAAAGAGGCTAGGCTTCCAGTATAGTTCAGTGGTAGAGCACTTCCCTAGCATATGAGGTCCCGGGTTCAATCCCTAATACAACAAAAAACAAAACAAAAACAGGACAGAGAAACACAATAAATGATACCATGGGGATGATTTCCCTGACTGGAAAATACTAAAAGACACAACAGTTTTGTCAGCAAATGAACTGGGTTCATTTCATTTCACTTAGGTAAAAGGCTATGTTCATTCAGACTAAACCATGGCATCAGAATAAACGAGGGTGTGGCCGAGGCAGTTGGAGGGCAGTCGGCTGCCGCAAAGATGAGACAGAGTGTCTTTGCTTCCCTAGAGAACCCTTTCAAGAAAGCCTTATTTTGGATGTGAATAGGATTTCCATCCAGGAGATGCCACAAATCTGGGGACAGGCTTCTCAAACTTGGGGTGCGCAGGGAGTCCGGGGAGCCTGTCAGGGGAGCTGAGTCTGATGCAATCTTCTGGAGGTTGAATGAGCTATTCGTGTACATGTGCAGGTGAGTGTTTGGTAATTTAGGAATTCTCACTCAGAGTTTTCATTCTCCGTCACAGGCGAATAAATACATGAAAGCATGATGATTTCTGTCAGGTTCTATCATCCTTCTCTGAAGAGAAAGCAAAGGGACTCACTAAATTCTATCAGCTGATGAAAACTGTGGCATTTGTCAACTAGTGCTTAGAATGCACTCCAAACACCTCGGCCAGCTGGGGCGAGGACTATGCTGTTCTTACATCAGAAGAAGTAGCCTCTCTTTTTCAAAATATACTGTGCAGCCCAGGTTGGCCTTGAACTCAGGATTCTCTTGCCTCAGCCTCCTGAGTGCAGGGATGACTGGTGTACACCACTATGCAAGGTGTGAAATTCTTTTTCTAAATTCCAGAGACAAAGTAACTCAGAGAAGCCTGTAGTTACTGTCCAATCCCCAACTCCCTTCTTCCCCAGACCCCAGTTCCCAGTGCCCCGTCTCTGGGAAGGACCCACTTCTCCCCGTTTACTGCAATGGGAACTAACAGGAAGAAGGGTTTTACAAACACAGGCTAACCACCATCTCTCCTATTAACTTCTCTGAAAGGCTCAAAGCTGCTAATCAAGCTGGCTGCGTCAACTGCAGACTTGAAAAGTAGGCCACAGCATGGTGACGCAGAGTGAGCCGGCCGTTCCGCAGATAGTGAGACACACGAAAAGGCAATGGCAGATAGGGGAGATACGAACACGGCTCTCAGAAGCCGACAGCTCTTTGAGTCATACCTGTGCCACTACGACCAATTCCCTTGTTGGCACACATGTGTCACAGTGGAGTTCTGTTTACTGTCAAAGATGCTGACTGGTGAGTTCCTAACAATGGAAATCAGAGATGACTAGAGTCATAGCACCCAACACATCATGTT